TTCTTGGTGTTTTGGTCGGGGTGGCCGGTCTGTGGGGGTGGCCAGTCTTTGGGTGACGGACGTTATCCAGCTACAGCTGTCAACTCAAGCTAAGCTAAACCACCCTGTTGGCGATCGCGACGAGACAAGCTACGAGCAATTGCTCTGTACACACTCCTTTTACAATCCTCGTCAATGCCGCTTGTTGACCCCGTCACCATGTCGACAACACTTGTCAAGAGCGGGCCCGCCGCCCAACAACCCGCGACCAAGGCCGCCGTGCCCGCGATTCCGCTCGTCAATTCTCCTGCCGCTTTGCCCGCATCAGTCGCTCATCAGCTTTTGCTCGCTGGCCTGTTCTACTGGCGCTTCGATGCCCTGGTGGCCGATCCCGTCTCGACTCTTCAGACTGGCCTCCCAGTTGTTGCTGCCATTCAGGCTGTCTATCTTATACTGAGTCTTCCACCAGCGGGATCCTCGGGCTCGTCGAAGAAGCCTCGTCCTGGTGAGAAGAGGAAATCAGATGGACGGGAGGCAAAGGCTATTCCTGTAAGTATATGTGTTGTGCGTGAAAGCCACAAAACTAATGTCAATGGTATAGACCGCCGTTATTTCATTGCTCCTAGCTCTAATCCTGACACCGGCTCTTCATCTCCTCCTTGTCCTCTTTGGCGCGCCATTCCTTACACACGTTCCTCACACATTCTTGTGCTGCGCACATATCGCCGTCCTCGCGATTTATCCTGTCTTCTACGTTCGTGGTTCCGACCCCGTGCCTCTCCAGGCTGTCGTTGGTGTATCAGCTCCATTTGACCAGACATTTGGCGGTTTTATTGGAACAGTGGTTGGGGCTTGGCTTGGAGCTGTCCCTATTCCTCTCGATTGGGATCGCGAGTGGCAGAAGTGGCCCGTCACCATTGTTGTCGGTGCTTACATCGGATATATCGTTGGATCTCAGATCTTGGGCACCGTTTTCTTTGGAAAGCGCTGGGAAGTCACTCCTGAAATCAAGGAGGAATAAGCCATTGGTTCATGATGAGAACACTAGTGCTATTCCAAGATGCCCGTATGACAGGTAGACTGGGATTTACAGAGATATTTATGGCTGTGGATACATTGTAATGTACCGTGGCAAAAAGTTTGACATAATGAGATCGCCTACTATCATAGCGATAAGAATACATAATAATGAATACATTGCATTGGCTTGCCGCTGCTTCACTGGTGAAATAGAATTCATAGTCATGATAAATAGATGCGTCTTTGCTGTGCCATTGGCCGAAGGTGTCTTCCTTCATGCCTCTGTTTCGAGAGTAATGCTCCCCATGTCGTCTGGAGATGATATGTAGTGCACGTGAAATACCCTATACATTGTCAATATCTTGTTTGAGAGCAAGGTCTTCCATATTCTCATCATACTGCGGAAATTAGGTTATGGATATTGATATCATTGTTGAAAAATTATGCTAGCTCGCTGACTCAGGTACTGTTCATGGTCTCTCGTCCAATATAGATGGCCTGTGATATGCTTGGCACTACACTGGAGTCGATCGAGTCATGACACTATCAGATCAAGTCTCAGCATACGTAAGTACTAGTTTTCCCTCAATATCTCCAAATCAACTGGCCCTTGGCGGTCGTTCTAGTTACCTTGGCTCAGACGTAATTGGTGTATACATGGTTGGACGAATTGGATGTATGTCAAGGCATCATGTTCATTTGCTGAACGGCCTTCAGAAGGCCATATTCAGAGATTACTGGTGGAACAAACACTGATAGCTGAAAGGTTACCTAACATATGAGAGGATGGTATTGTCTCAAAACTGATCAACTTGCAATTCCAGCACCAAGTTCAATGGTCTGACGAATGGCGTTCTGACGCGCTTGACTACCTACATTGACAGGAGCCATTGGATAGAGAACGGTGATGGCTCGGCTTGCTTCTCCCAGTGCAAAAATCCCCTAGGACTGATCGCCATTGGGCGAACCGTATTCTATAACCCTGCATGTTCGGCACAGCTGGGGCCAAACTTTACAACCCCAGATTATTGATGTGCTAACACTGATATCATCGTATCATCTTCTGAGATCATAACCCAAAGTTAGACTTTGAGACGGACTCATCCTTATCGCGACGCTTTCCTTGAAAAGACCGTAAGGGAGAAGAGATTACAGGCGAGGGCCAGACTTGTCGAAATGGGGCTGGCGACTCGTCCTCTCTTGGCCCTCCACCTGCAAGTGCCGGTGAGGCCGTGATAGAGGGCTTGGAACTTCAGTTCATGCTTGGCACTGACGCGTGCGCTCGAATCTTCTGAAACGTGAGATTAACCAGCCAAGAGCCAAGCTGAGCCAGCGGAGACCAGGACAAGCCACGTCAAAATCAGGTTAATCTAGAACCTGCAGGCCAACTCAGGCGCTTATTCCCAGAGCATGACCAAAGAAAATTTTAGTAATAATCATGTTTCCCTTTTAGGCAGGGCATTTTTAATTCACCCTGTTGTAAGAGCTTGGGAGTCGGTAGACTCGGCATCTTTTAGTGGTAGTCGCCCAGTAACGTGCTGATTACGACAATTGGATGTCAGGTAATCTTGCTTGTCAGGCACACTGCATAACATCCATTCTCGAACCATGAACCGCCAGTTACGATATCAGAGAGGCTCAGAGTGGCCACAGCACATGATACACATCTATATCGAGATTTGAGGTTGAGTTTGGCATCGAGAATGAAGGATTGCGATAACTCAGCCACCGCGATTAACGAATCCTTCACATCGTCAATCACTTCGCTAATTGGCGATTGATTGAGGCTCTCCCCAGCCACACTGCGGCATTCGCCTCATGACGTACGTGGCCCGAGAAACCTTGTCAATTCCGTGACAAGTTGGTCGGGGTGATGGAAAGAAAAGCGAACGCACTTATACCATTGCTCACTGTAGTATGTTAAGCACACACAGATCAAGACTGATACAAAACTTATATGTCAAGAAATATGGATTTCTAGGACCGTCTGGCTATTGGATTTTCTCAGTTTAGAGGCTATAATACAGTCCAGCGTAGCATTTGCTGTTGTGGTATTTGTGAGGTAACCCGTTGTTTTTTCTTTCCGGACGGGCTCACCCAACTGCTAATCCTGTAAACTCATGTGCCCAAGTACAAGGTCAGGCGGGAACAGAGAAAGCAGGGCACATTTTGCTTGGCCCACGCTCTATTCTTCTTCATCGTCCCTGTGGCTTGCCTCATCCCAGTCAGTCGATGACGTAGTGCCTAGGAAAAAGGTGCAGTTGAGGTTGCGCGGACGCTTGATGTTACTTGGTCAGGGAAAGTTGGAAGCTACGGAACGAAATTGGTTTGGCAGTGATTATCTTCTCAGGTTGAATGGGTGTGTATCCGTAATGAGTGATGTGATGCCATGCCCGTCCTTGGCCCGCCCGTTTGTGACGGAGCCTTGTATAAAAGACAAACCATCTCCCTCTCAACTACGATCCTGTTCCTAACATCTCATACAAACTCTGTATAACGAAGCTATCCTTTATCTTCTCACCCTCAACCACTACCTACTATACACACCTTCCGAGTAACACCTCGCCTTCCCAACCGACAACATGCCTTTCACTGCTAGGTAAGCTCGACCTCTTCAACCACACTCGACTTCGCGACGTCATCCCGAGCGATCCGCTGTTAGGGTGAACAATCAACAAGATTATATGTACTAACACTTCTACTAACAGCGACATCTGCAAGATCCTCCTTGCCATCATCCTCCCTCCCGTGGGTGTCTTCCTCGAGCGTGGCTGCGGTGCCGACTTCTTCATCAACATCCTCCTTACCATCTTGGGTACGTTCCTCTTGTCACTCATCCCAACTTCCAATATCCAGCCGCATCCGACCCCTCCGCGGTTTCGGGCTTACCCATCCCTTCGCACATTGCTCAGCAGTTTACTAACGTTCCGCTTCAGGTTACATCCCCGGTATCATCCACGCTCTGTACATCATTCTGAAGTACTAAGCCTCTTCGCACCTCGCACCTCAGCTCTGCGGCGCTTCCCGGATTGCTTCAATGATGGCTGCCCCGCTTTCTAATCGCCCAAGACTGGTCAGCCATCGGTTGTCATTATCCACGCGACACCTTGTCTGACGGCCAAGACACCAATGACTGCCGAGCAATCCGGGCGCATGCTGTCTACCGACGACGCTGTGACGAGCTGCGCAGATTGTTTTCCTCGCTTTGATACCTTACGCTGGTATTCCGCGCTTGGCGCTGGATACTGGTTTTTACGACTGGCATGGGCGCGATTCAAGTTTCTTGTTTTCCTTTGTTTAGTTACGACATGATGGAGGCGTATGTTGGATTGGCTCTCAATGCAAAGATGCACTGGGCTTTTTAGTAATTAATTCGATACCCGTCAATCCAACAATTCCTTAACACGTCAATGTCACCGTTACCTCAACATTCACTCCGTGATATGAAGCTGAAGCAAACAACAAGTGACTGTTCATCGTCCCATTGTACAAACTTGCATCGGCAGATGTGTGTGACATGGGTCCCCTGTTCTCGACGAAAAATGCGCTACCCATAGGCGGACACTGTTCAAGACACGTCAAACTCAAACTACTAATTAGATGAAAACAGTAGCACCAAAGTACAAACTTGGCTATGTTTGGCAGTGTTTGCCTTGTCCTACATTGGTGTTGGAACTTTGGTAACATTGAGATTTTTGTAGCCCCGTTGTCAAGTCCCAGAAAGAAAGGGAAAAGGATCACTAAAGTCACGATTGCCGACTTGGGATCATTTGGCATTGTCGAGCGGGTTCATCATGGGCGATCGCTGTGGCTGTGCGTTCAATGGATTCAATTAGAAATAAGGGTGGAGCTAATATTTCAGCCTGGGCTTTTTGACTGTCCAAAAAAAGACAAGAATTAGACTAGCGAATACGCGTATCTAACTTTGCGATTGAGATTGATTCCATCATACGGTTCTAAATCGTTTGTTGAGAGCGTGGCTGAGGTTTGGCAATCGAGGTCATCTTAAAAAATGACATAATGCTTAAATGCTTGAACAAAGTCACGTGCTTTCGCTCCTTGTGACGCTATAGCGCGTCGCCACGCGTTCATCATACCGTGTACTTCACCATTGACCTCACTCTTCGATATGCCTCCAGCACCACCAGATGTAATAGAAATACCTGACGATGAAGGCACACCTTCGGAGTCTGAGGATAACATCTCGTCCTTTTCAAATTCTGCCCGGAAAAGGAAGCACGAGACTGAGATTGAAGAGAAGGTTGAGTGGACTGGAGACGAAGACGATCTACCAGCAAAGCCCAAAAAGCGTCGTGGTGGGCGAAAGTTAACTCGCAAAAAGAAAGGGGATGATGTACATGCAGAGAATGAGACACCCAAAGATGATTACGAGCTCGCAGGTTTACCTGATTATCTGATCGAGCGACGGCGCAAGTTTGACACTAAGAGGAAACTTCACCACGATAATGCTCTTATGGTACCTCCTGATTATTCGGGGATTCACTTCGAAGAAACTAGAAGACTCAGGGAGCTGGAAGAGCGACCCAAGTTCAGTGAAAGCAGTGGCATAAAACCTTCACGACCGTACAAAGATATTGAACTGCCCCAATCAGCAGGTCTCATCCCAGCGTCGATCGCCCAGTATCTTCGAGATTATCAAGTCGCTGGCGTCTCATTTCTGCACAGAAAGTTTGTCTACCAAGAAGGCGGTATCCTGGGAGATGACATGGGTCTCGGAAAGACGGTGCAAGTTGCTGCGTTTCTAGCAGTTGCGTTTGGCAAGACTGGCGACGAGCGTGACGCCAAGCGGCTGAGACAAATCCGCCAATATCCCCACAGATGGTATCCGAGAATATTGATTATTTGCCCCGGGTCTCTCATTGTGAACTGGAAGAACGAGTTAGATCGTTGGGGCTGGTGGCATACTGACCTGTTCCACGGATCCCATAAAGACGACGCATTGAGTACTGCCCGTGCAGGGCTAGTTGAAATCATGATCACCACTTATGACACATACAAGAACAGCCGAAGCTCAATCAACATGGTTCAATGGGACGCAGTGATTGCTGACGAATGTCACCGGCTGAAAGACAGATACTCAGAAACTACCAAGGCTCTCAACGAGATCAATGCGCTTTGTCGTCTTGGCCTCACTGGTACCGCGATCCAAAACCGATACGAAGAGCTCTGGACACTACTGGACTGGACTAACCCTGGACACTTCGGGACTCTGGCAGAATGGACACAAAGAGTCACCAAGCCCCTGACTGTTGGCCAGTCTCACGACGCAACGAAAGCTCAGCTCAGCCTGGCAAGAACAACAGCTGACAAACTGGTCCACAATCTGCTACCACAGTATTTCCTTCGGCGGATGAAGAGCATCATAGCGAAGCAACTACCCAAGAAAACCGACCGAGTCGTCTTCTGTCCTCTTACAGATCTCCAGAGGGAAGCATACGAGAACTTTTTGGAAAGCGCGGACATCGATCTCCTTCGCAGTCTTTCTGAGCCCTGCTGTGGAGACAAGAAGAGAGGATGGTGCTGTGATCGCCTCCTTTCTAGCGGCGTACGCTGGCAGAACATTGTTTTCCCCAGCATGATCGTGCTGCAAAAGATGGCAAATCATCTTACTCTCCTTGTGCCACAAACCACCGACTTGGAGGGGAAACACGAGTCAGATCTAAACACTCTTCGAACTTGCTTGCCTGAAGACTGGAAATACGTCTACGACAATCGGGATCGGATTAAGAATCTTGTTAATCCCGAGTTTTGTGGAAAATGGAAAGTTCTGAAGAAGTTGCTCAAATTCTGGCACTCAAATGGAGACAAGGTCCTTGTCTTCTCTCATAGTGTGCGACTTCTTCGTATCCTCCAGCATCTATTCACCAATACGAGCTACACTGTTAGCTATTTGGATGGCTCCTTGAGTTATGAACAGCGCCAGGAAGTTGTTGACACGTTCAACTCCGACCCGACACAGTTTGTCTTCCTCATTTCGACCAAAGCTGGCGGCGTGGGACTCAACATCACATCTGCGAATAAAGTCGTTATTGTTGACCCTCACTGGAATCCGTCTTATGACCTTCAAGCCCAGGATCGAGCCTATCGTATCGGCCAAACTCGTGATGTTGAGGTTTTCCGCCTTATATCGCTCGGGACAGTCGAGGAGATTGTGTATGCACGTCAGATTTACAAACAGCAGCAAGCAAACATTGGCTACACTGCGTCGTCTGAACGTCGCTACTTCAAGGGTGTCCAACAGGACACTGATCGAAAGGGTGAAATATTTGGTCTTGCCAACATCTTTACCTACCATAACGATAGTGGCTTATTGCAGGAAATTGTGAACAAGACAAATATTGCCGAAGCAAAGGCGGGCGTGCATCTTGTGGATGTCAACATGGAGCAGGCGGCCAAAGATGGAGAGGACCTTGCGGCGGTGAAGAATGAAGAAACTGATACTGAAGATGGTGGCATGAGCCAACTTGCCACTCTGCTCACAGCAGAGAACCAGCAACGAATGATCGAATCCAAAAAGGCTAAGAATAAAAAGCCAAAGAGCGACGCGATCCAAGCGATCCTCACTTCTGCGGGTGTCGAGTATACACACGACAATAGTGAGGTGATTGGAACGTCCAAAGTCGAGGAACAACTCTCACGACGGGCTGTCATGACAACATACTCATCTGGAAATGTTGATGGACAGAGTGCCCTTTTCGCGGAGAGTGATGACGAACAAGGGGACGGCCTACACAACATGTACAATCCCCCTGAAGAAGTCATGCTCCGACATTTCTGCGAAATGGCCAGAGAGTTTGGCTTCACGAATGCAACAGACTTTGCACTTGTTGTGGAGAGTTGGAGTCAAGAGGCAAGGAGAAATTGTCTAGACACTTTTTATAAGAGGAGAGCTGCGAAGCTTATACAAGAAGGCATAATCAAGGAGGAGGATGTGAAAGATACTGCTCAGGTGGACACTAAGCACGACATCGATGCCAAAGAAGAGGTCAAGGATGAGAAGAAGGATACTAAGCTGACCCCGAAAGAAGAAGACATCAAAAAGGATGACACCATACATACTTTGGTGAAGACAGAGAATACAAAAATGGAGGCCGTTGACACCAAGATGGAAGGTGAGAAGAAGATCAAGACGGAGGCTCAGGGGTCGAGTATAAGAACCTCGATATTCCTCTCAGATGACGATGATGATGACGAGCTGTGACGGGCGTTGGCGCACCGATTTGATACCCATAATGTATAACTCATATTTTGATTCCCAGCCGCGACATGGTTCCGGTAGTCGTGAAATACATACTATGGACGCCCGCTTATTTGGTTAATGTTCCAACAACATGGGGAAGAATACCAAATCTTGCCTCCCCTTCAGGCTGTGCTAGGTCAATCTTCTCCCATGGCCCGGCTTCTCTTAACGATTTCCCTATTGATCGGCAAATGCGGCACGACCCCATGACTTGTGACCACACAAGACCAGTAACCCCTATCGTTATCAGCAATTGCTTTTCTGGGCCGGATGACTGACTCACATTGATAGGCACGCAAGAGGACCCCCCTGTTCTCATTGATGCGCACATGCTCATAGGCATACCATCGACCCCCTTTCTTGAGACTCTGATACAGAAGCTTGATGTTCTTCTCAGGCTCAGGAATACTGCAGAGACACAAAATTGTGACGATGCAATCGACACTTTCTGGTTCAATGCGCCCATCCCACGCTTCTGGATCGTTGAGGGATTCAATGCCCACTGGGACAACCTCATAAATATCATCAAGGCCAATTTCCTTCACTCGCTGTCGCAGAGTTGCCGCAGACTTGGGATTTGGCTCAATACCATACACGCGAGTCAAACCGTTGCCTCCTTTTCTTCGCCTCAATTCTCCATCAGCATCTCCTTGGTTGTTCACTCCAACGTTGACTTTGGCAAACACATCCGCCCACATTCCGGTCCCCGCACCGATCTCAAGAACAACGCCGTTAATGGGCTCTCCAACAACTTCGTCTCCCATACGGCCATTTCTCACACGACCTTCGAGTAATGGAATGACACGGCTCTCTGCGTTGGCTTTTACCTGCGGCCCGATGAAAGCCCAAAAGTTGCCGAACCAAACATCCTTGAAGCGGGATGGCGAGAACAAAGTTCGGAAGTCCTTGTTTCTGATAACCTCGAGAAGAGTGCCGGGAAGGAAACGCATAGCAATTCCCATGAAAAGATAGGGGCCAGTGAGGCACTCTATGAGCTCCTTGAGGGTTGAAAGAACTGCCATGATGCGCAATGAGTCACAGTGATCTAAGCACGGAGACCGTGAAACGTGCGTATGCGGGTGCTATATAAGGAAGAAGAATTGCTTTATATAGAGTAGGATGGGGGACTTTTGACTTAGACGCCCACACGGGACTCGGCTCGTTTTGTAAGTTCTCCGCCGCCCGGATACGGAGCCGAGCGGGGCCGAAGGCGCCCAACAGCAATCATGAGTGTCACTGTATCGTTCTTAGCATATCAACTGTGTGGTGTAGCATGATATTGTTTCTGCAGAGTGTGGAGGTACTTTTGCAGATGCTGATCCTGGAAACACGTCTCTCCCAAACAGAATTATGGTCCTGGTTTAGCTTATATCCAACTATCTTGGCCAACCTCTATTTGAGATTTGAGCTGCCCGAGACAATTATTCTTGTCCAAGAGGATCTCTGAACAATGGCTCAGGACTTGCCCTCATGTCGTTCATGACGCCATCCAGGTAAGATTTTGGTTGATCCAAGGGGGTGTCAAGGCAGAAACACGGAGAACATTATCTGAAAGCCAAGGGGGGAGGAAAAGGAGCTGCCCGTTTCATCTGCCACAGTTGTACTTCCCATACGACAAGAACGCTGCGTCGAGATTTGACCAAAAGTCTATTATCGCAAATAGAGCCATTCTCAAACTTTTGAATCATCATGGCGGAATCCTCCAAAGAAGAACACATACAAAGACGCCCAAACTCCCAATTGCCCATGCATTTCCCTCCTTCTCCCCCTCCACTTTCCACCTGTTGCCATCCAAATGGCCACATCATAGCAATTCAAAATCGTCCAGCTGGTCGCGGTACTTCATGATGTTCCTCTTGATCTTGCTGCCCACAGTCCATGTCACAAAGTCCTCCATGCCTCTTGTGACCAAGTATGCAGGATCCGTGACTGTTTCTGTACCCACACGCACATGGCCCTGCTCAATCATCTTCGTAGCCGCCTGCACGGTCTCAGCCATGCGCAGTCTTGTCATCAGCACAGGCAAGCGACGGCGCGCAAAGGCGCTGACGGTAACGCTGTTCTCGACAGCAGAAAGCTTGGAGGCGCTAGAAAGGACACCCATGTCGTAAAGCTTGTTGAGGAGGAGTTCTTCGTGCTTGCGGCGTGTTGCGTTCTCGGGAGGGAGGAGGGAAAGGCGATGAGCGAGCTGGCGCAGAGACTGCGATTGTTAGTACAATGAATCTGCGCCTGATATAGAAGTGACTTAGACTTACGCCGCAAAGACGGTTATACTTGTGATAGTCCTCGGGCTTCTGGATCATGTACCGTCGCATGACGGCCTTGTCGCGATGGCCATTGTCGGATTTGTATGTGATGAAGTCTGTCTTTCGGAGGAGCTTCTGCTCGTGATGCTTGAGTTTTCGGACCATGATCGCGGTATTTGTTCGCCCCCAAGTACTAAAAACTCCGTAATCCCCGCTTGATGGTTTGTTTTCTGTGTCGGCGCAGTTGTTGGTAGAGGTAATCGTTGCTGTCCCGCGATATAAAAGTTCAAGGCTGGAGGAGAAAACGATAAAATCTGAGTGGAGTCGCGGAATCTGCCCCGCCGCATTCCGCTTGGTCGAAAAACCTCCAACGATCGAACATCACCAAAATCAGCTCTAGAGCCTCGCAACCGCCAATCCGACCGACGGCTTCAATTGCGACCGCCCAAAATGCCTCCTCAACTACCGACGGCCTCGACGGCCTCGACGGCCTCGACGATTGCGCGCAGCGTCATCCGTCCCTTTTCCACCACAGCAGCTACTGCAGCTCCCGGCCGACACCCCCCCTCCGGTGGACACGCCAACCGTCTTGCTGGTCTAAATGCCAGCAACAGCAAGGGAGGACTTGGTCGAGGAGGTCGAGGAGACGCTGCTGCGAGACTCTTGGAGCGATTCAAGACGCGGACAAACACGTACACTATGGAGAAGACTGCGCAGATGGAGTTTCTCAAGAACCAGAAGATGTCAAACGATTTCCTCAAGCAGATGCCCAGACGATGGGAGGCTGGTGACGTCTACTCGCCGCATGATCTGAGCCCTGTCGAGATGCAGAAGTGGAGGAAGAAGACTGTGCGGAACAATGATGTTATCGATGCTCTTGGAATCAGCCCTCTTGATATGTACAAGGTGCGTGCATATCGCCCACCAATTGTTACACATACTAACATTTCGCCCAGAACTTCTCTCTTATCGAGCACTTCACATCAACCTCTGGAATGATCAACCACTCCAATCTCACACGTCTTCGGCCCGTCAACCAGCGCAAGGTGGCCAAGATGGTTCGCCGAGTACAGGGCATGGGCATCTACCCCAGCGTACACGCTCACCCTGAGATGCTCCGAGATCAATTCTTCTCACGCCACAAGTAGACCAGTCGTATATAGAAAGGGGAAAACGACTTGTTCTGTGCCGGCGTTTATGTTGTCTGGGATGATTGATGTCATGGTCATTATTTTTTGGTCATATGTATAACAGCCTCAACCTCTATGTAACATATTGATACAATTGTCTACATCCAAACATCTCTTCGTTTTATGCAAAATCCTTGTGATACATTCAAGCTCTTATTACCCTGTTGAGCTTGTATTGGCACAGCGAGTCTTTGTTGAGTCGCTTACCCTTGGACTCGAGGCTAGCCCATGCTTCAGGGTACCTCGCCTGAGCCCAGCTTTTGAAATTCGATTGCAGCGTCTGCCCTGGTAAAGCATTGAAAGCAATGCCCAGTCTAGTTCATGTCAGCGATTTGTTATATCAGTAGGAGATGGTATTGGAGCTCACGTCATTGCATCTGGCTCGCCCGCAGTCGCCAAGCTCATTCGCATAACAAGATCCTTAACCCCCGCCTCCTCTCCACTGCCAGCAACAGCACCAACATATGCGTTGTATACTGCCGGTGGCACATCAATGTCCATACTTTTTATCCGCTTCCAGATGATGTGTGCTTGGCTTGCACCATTCGGTGTACGCTCAAGAGCCCAGAACACAGCTTCTAAACTGGCATAAGAAGGTCCTTCTTGGGAGGCTGTGATCGCTTGCCAAAAGTCCATTGCCTGGGTAGTCTTCCCGCAGGCCGCATGAGCCAATAGGAGAGAAGTATAGAGCTGGGTGTTGGGCTCAACTGTTGTATCCATCTTGAGCATGTTGTGGACGATGTCCAGAGGCTCTTCATCTGGACATCGTGATAAACCCTCAAAACATGATATATATGTCTCGCGCTTGGGGTGGTAGTCGCTATTTCGGTGCTGTCGCATGTGACCAAAGACATGGGATGCCATATCTGGACGTTTTCGCTCAAAAAAGGCCTCCATCAGCTGTACACGGTGCTCAAAGCTAAGATCCTGGAAGAACTGCCGTAAAATCTGATACCCGTTCCATGCTCGTGAAGTGCTAGTTTCGCGATTCACACAGAATTGGGTGAATGCATCTTGAATGACCTCTCGCTCCGCTGCGCTGAATTGGAACGAGTGGACGGATAATATGTCCATAACCTCGTAGTGCTGCTCATTCTCCAAGAATCGGATACACAGCGAAGCCACTGTTTCTGGCTCAAGGAGCACCTGGTTCTCCTCACACATTTCGATAATCTCGCCGATGATCTTGAAATTTGGTGTCGATTGCGTCGTGAGAGTCATCATATACTCATTTACAAGTCGACCGAAATCCCACCAGAGATCAGGTTGAACATGCCAGGGCTCGTGGTGTGTGACTTTCTTGTATGCTGCATGAACTCCCGGCAGATAGCCTGCATGAAGTCGCATCTCCATGAGGATAAGGTGAGATTCGCCGTCCAGCGGGAGACCCCTATCTGTAGCAAGCGAGAGAATCTCCTCAGCTAACAACGAGTCGTTCATTCCCAGAGCAGCTCGGAGAAGACTGTTAATAGTGGCTGTGGTGGTCTTGATAGCTTCCTGAGAACTATCCATGTGGGATATCATCTTTTCCACCTCTGGTAAGCCTTTGCCAATGATGAGAATCGCCTGCAACAGGCTATCCCAGTAATGCTGCTCCGGCTTCTCGTTGAGCTTGTTGCCGATCTCAAGGAAAAAAGGAACCGCCCATTCTTGCAGGTTGTTGCGGGCAGCAAAAGAAGCAATTAGGGGTATAATCTTGTTTGACGGACTTCCAGATGAGAGTGGTTTCTCGAACCATTGCTTTGTCTCGGAGACTCGGTTGTTCTGGGCATAATAAGTGACCAGCACGCGCTGAAGGTGCTTGTCATAGGGGTAGCCGTTCTTCTCGGCATAGTTGATCAGCTCGACAAGGTCCTCTTCACAGCCGTCCCTGGCAAGTCCATCCGCTAAGGATAATATCGGATTTTTCGTCTTCTTCTTGCAGAATTCCATGACATCGTTCCATTTTGCGTAGGCAATCTCGAGAGCTTCTTTCGATCCACCAAAGGTGCATAGCACAGTGAGGTACTGTGACCATATTGAACCACTAGTCACCCAGTTTGGCTTCTGCAGATTCGGGTTATTGATGGCGGACCAAAGGGTTCTGGCGAAATCTAAATGATGCTCGGTTCTCTCACGAGGTCGGAGGCTCTCGAGAGCAGTGAGGGCTTTCAGAATCTCGGAGATCTCAATCTTGGCCTGGGTCGGAAATTCGCGTTCTTTAATAAGATATTCGAGGAGTCGACGGCATTGCATCGCTTGTGTACCGTTCAATGCCATTCGGCTTGACAGCTTTCCTTCGAAGAAAGATTTCCATGCCTGGATAAGCTCTTCTGCAGGTGGAGGCCGTAAATTGTCGAGCATGCGACTCCTCCAAATCATAATCTTCTGCCATCCTGGTTCGAACTCGGGTTGACGAATCTCGCGAGGGGCTTTGGCGAATAGGCCGTCGAGGAAGAATCGTCTCGAATAACCATTGTTGATTGTTCTAGGTGCACATCTTCGTCGAAGGGGAGCCGAATAGACAGCGCAAGACGGGGATCGGACTTGTTGGATAAGGATCCGTCGAGCATGGCGGGCCAATTGCGCCCTCATGATGGAATTAGTCTATGAGGAGGAGAATCTGAGGAAATTAGCCATTGCTTGACACGGGCGATGTCGATTGATCCTTACAGAAGCATGTTTGAAACAACACATTCACAAATGGTAGCGGGAATGGACTCGGCAATTGGGAAGCTCAAAATCCGATCGCAACACTTGGATTTTGGAGTTGAAGGCGGAATATCAGTCGCCGATATTTATCCGATGTTTAATGACATCGAAATATATCCACCTGGAATACGTTATTTAACGACATGCTTTTCATAAGAGCGTCTCTTGTTGTTTTTCTAAAATTATTGACTTCTCTCAATGGGAAGATTATAGTAGCCAGGTAGGCTCAAACTTGTTCAGATTCATGGAAGCTTGACCCTTGGTCATTGTCTGTGCAAACATTTTAAGTTTTGATGGCACCAGCACATGGGTTGAGATACCAAGCGAGTCACTGTGAGTTACATGATGGGCCCTCAGATCCAACTGTGACCCAGACTTCATAAGATAATATTCTGTCGTTCTGGTCAGTTCAATGGCCATAGAGTTCTACCCGGGCTTAAGTCCGATGAAGCACAACCGTGGATCTACGTCATGAAGCTAACCCTGATAAGTAGCTTATAGGAGCTTCAACTCCTTCAACTCCTTTCGTTATCACGGCATCGTGATCGGTGGTCAAAGGCTGAAACGCACAATATTATTAATCCACCAATGCCTTGTCCTGGCCAGTAAACAAATGTCTCGGATGATGATCCGATTAAACTCTCATGGCGCTCATTTGACTGTAACTATCTACCAAGATCATACCCCGCCCGAAGCCGCAGGCGTTGGTGGGGTGCTATGATGAGCTGCAGGTCGCGGAAAGGCACGACAATAAAGAGCTGGAGTTTACGAGTCACATCTCCGAAGCAAATCCTTTCCGAGGAACTATAAAGAGCTTCACCCCTCCATCTTCCATCTACTAGTAGTCTTGAATTAAAACACTTACAAACACCATCGACCGTCGCAATGCCTCTCGTAACCCAGAACGTCAAGCCTCGTGTTATCCTGGGTCTAATGACCTTTGGACCCCCTGGTAGTGAACAGCTCGACGCGCGTATCTTTGACCCTGAAACTTACAATAAGGCTCTTGACATCTTTCAAAGTAAGGGTTACAACGAAGTCGACACTGCCCGCGTCTATGTTGGCGGCAAACAGGAGGGCTGGACTGGCTCGCAGACCAACTGGAAAGAGAGAGGACTTACTGTGGACACAAAGGTCAAGTATCCTGTCCAGCCTGGCGAGAACACATACGACAAGGTCATCGAGTCGGTTGAGACCAGTCTGAAGGAGCTGGGAACTGACTGCATCGATGTAAGTGGCATGCCCCGATAAGCTTAGTTGCATGCACTAACACGCCCATTAGCTGCTCTACCTCCATCGTCCTGACCGCGGCACTCCTTTCCAAGAAACCCTCGAAGCTATCAACAAGCTACACAAGGATGGGAAGTTCGTCAAGTTCGGTATCAGCAACTTCACGGCGTACGAGGTCGCAGAAGTTGTCATGATTTGCAAGTACAACAACTGGGTCCGGCCCACGGTCTACCAGGGCATGTACAACTGTCTCACCCGTTCCATCGAGGCAGAGCTTTTTGTAGCCTGCAGGAGATACGGCCTCGACATCGTTGTGTACAACCCAATCGCTGGCGGTCTCCTGTCTGGCAAGATCAAGTCGATGGACATCAAGCCCGAGAGCGGCCGCTTTTCTGATCAGAGCAAGATTGGTACGGCATATCGCCAGCGATACTTCAGAGAGAGCACATTCAAGGCTCTGAAGGCTATTGAGGAAGCTACGGAGAAGAACGGACTGAGCATGCTTGAGACAGCATTGCGATGGATAATCCACCACTCCGGACTAAAAGTCACAAACGGTAACGATGGAATTATCATTGGTATGTCTAACATCCAGCAGCTCGAGCAGAACCTTGAGCTCGTTGAAAAGGGACCTCTGCCCGACGAGGTGGTAAAGGCACTTGACCAGGCGTGGCTGTACTCCAAGGCAGATACGGCCAACTACTGGCATGGGGATTTGGAGTATACATATGATGTACACGAGGCTCTGTTTGGTGCGTCGGCCAAGTAAAATAGCAATAGGCAGAAGTAATACAGAGCTTGGTATAGACTACCTAGACCCTTGAATATAAACCCACGTGCTGTCAGTCATTTCTGTTGGTGGCATGCTGATACCGTTCACAAAGGTTGTCTTGGTTTTGGGGGCGCGTGGAGAGAAGGCGGAGGGCACATGACCGAAGGCGTCATTTGTTTGCAGGACAAGATAAGAGCAAGGTAGCATCTAATGCAATCAGATCTTAAAGAGATCCAAGAGACAGGTCAAAACCTGTTGTAGGTACAAAGTAGGAATGTCATTTTGTACCACGCATAAGCTTATTCCCGCACGTGGGAGCAGAGAGTTTAATCTCAGTTGCTAGTGAATACTTTCAACGGTTAACGGTAACTTATTCGCCGTGACATTTCACCTGTAACTGCGATAACCTCACTGAGTCGCTAGCAACAATCTCATCAACGGTCATGATTCTACCTAAACAATCACCTCATGGTTTACCATTTTTAGCCTGTTCTCCAGTGGATTCCAGGCTCAACAATGACGGCACCGTGCTGGAAACCCCCCCGCGCTGTTGGTCCCCTGCGCTACAGCGGAGTAAGCCCCCTGCAAAACCGGGGTCTCGAGACCCGCTTGTCTCCGCCCCGGACCATCCATGGCTGTTTTTCAACACCACCTTTACATACCACGGATCCAATACCACGCCTCGATTTGACGAAAGACCAAACCCGGTGCAGCCCCAAAATCAGCTAAGCCGTTTCACTCCTTTATCGCACCCCTCGCCTATTGTATTCGTAATTTTGTCGAGCTCTTTTTTATCTTTATATAGAAGTACCCATTCCCTTCCCTCTCCCTTCATGCCTCGGCGTGATACCAGTGACCAAGAAGTCCGCCTTCTGCAAGGTCACAATCGATCGTCTACAGACTCGGATTCTTCAACATCATCTAGCGACGATACCACATGCGAACCAGGCCCATCTTCGACTGCCAGACCAAACGTTGTTGGCGCCCGTGGCACCGCCGACCATCCGAGCGACGCTTCCGATCTTGACACGAAGCGCCACGATCCTAAGAATACAAAGATCCATAGTGACAGCGAGTGGTTGGAATTGGACAATATGGATCCCAATGACCTTCGCCGTCCTCATTACCATCGTCATGGCGATGGTAAATCTGGAACTCCTCTCCTTTACAAGGAAGATGACCCAGAGCGCGGCCGCGCTGGTTACCCGCCTCCTAATGATGGATCAAAGGGGTCAAGGGAGTCCAGCGAAGACGATCTCCCATATCATCCCAGAGAATCAATGGGAAGACCAAGTCTCAGTCGGCGATCAACAATGCGCAGTCGAAGCCCTCAAACCGCCGCCGCTGTTGCCGAAGATTCGACCAAGAAGAGGTACACGTACGCAGGATTCTTCCTCATTATCAGTCTGATCGCATTCTGCGTTCAGACAGAGCTGAGCGCATACATCCAACACGACCTTGGCTGGGACAAGGCTTACTGTATGATGTACTTTACACACGGTTCTTGGGTTGTGTTATGGCCAGTTCAGCTCCTTATTTTGCGCTTCCAGAAGCGCGATGTACCATGGCCAGTATTCTGGAAGCGACATAAACAGCAATTACGCACCACCGCCATTATGATCGAAAAGCAGACCTTGGATGTATTTCATATATCGATTCAACATCGCGCGCGACCCGTTCGTTATTTTGTTCGATTCACTGCCATCATTACCTGCTCACTGACCGTCGCTGGTTTGAGTTGGTACATTGCCGTTAGTCTGACAACGCCGTCGGATCTGACGGCCATTTACAATTGCTCCGCCTTCTTCGCATACGTATTTTCCGTTCCACTTCTTCGCGAGCCCCTTCGACTCGACAAGTCGGTTGCTGTTCTGATCGCTATTGGCGGTGTCCTCGTCGTTGCTTATGGTGACACTAAGGAGGGAGGCGAGAGTGTCGAGGCCGGAAACCGATTCCTTGGCAATCTCGTGATTGGCGTTGGTTCAGTTCTGTATGGTCTGTACGAGGTCTTGTACAAGCGCTATGCTTGCCCACCCGAGGGCTGTTCACCTGGTAGGGGTATGATCTTTGCCAACACCTTCGGTTCTTTGATTGGGCTCTTCACTCTCACGGTGCTCTGGCTTCCTCTCCCAATTCTCGACTGGCTCAACATTGAAAAGTTCGAGATCCCAGCGGCTTCTACGTGCTGGCTCATTCTACTCGCGGTGCTTTCCAATGCCACTTTCAGCGGTTCATTCCTCGTTCTTATCTCGCTGACTTCGCCCGTCCTGTCGTCAGTGGCTGCGCTGCTCACCATCTTCATTGTTGCCATTGTGGACTGGATGATTACCGGCGAGCCCTTGAGCTTTGCTGCCATTGTTGGAGGCGCCATGATCATTGTCGCATTCTTGGGCCTGACTTGGAGCACGTATCGAGAGATGAAGGAGCATGCAGCGATGGAGCCTGTCCCAGACTTTTCGGACAGCGACAAGGATGGCGACATCGATAGTGACGAAGATTAGACTTTGTGTATTCAACATGGCGTTATGGGTTTCAGGGAACGGCTGGGGACTAGGTTCTGGCGGTATGTCTATTGTGTACAGACTTTACCAGCTGCTTTGTGCATTTAGAGGCGTTGGATTTAGGGTTCATCTACAAGAAGCCTGGGAGGCTGAAGGTTTACCAACGATCCTGCTACTTGGACCGATATAGTCGTGGATGAGTGATAGATTTCATATTCTACCAAGATAGAGCATCATGTAGATAAATTGTAATCAACCTCATCCACGCCAGTTTACTGTCTCTCAGATCTCTTCCTGTGTAGCTTGATAGGAACCCAGATTCTGTGGCCTCATTGGAATTGGGGCCATATCATAAAAGTGCTAATAGAGTTGCAAGGTAACCATAGAATTGTTCGAAATCCAGTGAACTTTGGCATCATAAGATGCTGCCCTATTAATCATAAACCTGACCTGGCTTTGTCAATCTTCCAGTCGCATAACTATGACTCTTCCACCATAGTTTGTTCATCACTACTTTCAATATCATCCTTGACAAATACACCCTCGCTCTCTTCTCTCCACCCATTTGACCCATTAATATGGTCATCGTAAGTATTCATCTTCCACACTCCTTCTGCAGGGGTATCACCCGTTTCAAACACCTTCAGCTTCTGCCAGCCCGGTTGAGGAACAGTTTCCAGCATCTGACGCACAAGCAATGCGTAAGACGTATCGCACTCAAGCCACAAGTCGGACAGGTTCACCCGTGAAAGACTACTGCTCTCCCAGAAATCACGATTCTTGGGCATCAGCTGTACATAGAGATGCTCCACGGGTGGGCAATTAGGGATGAGATGGTCAGAAATATGATGAGAAAGGGGGAATGTGGCGATGTAGGATAACGAATGAAGGTTTGCACATAGAACATCGAAGGAAGGATCCGAAGAGTCAAAGATTGCAGGAAGAAGAGTAGCTGCTGAGTAGTGAAAGAATTCGTAGGTTGAATAGACTGGGGCGAAGGATCCTTCATTGACGAGGACTGAGCTCCAGTCTCTGATATGGAACAAGTCACAGGGGATGCGATTCGTTGGTCCCGGAATATGCGAGGGCAGAATCTGTACTCTTTTAGACTCGGCGATGCTTCGTGATGGTCGTGATAATGATAGAACATAGTAGGTGCTGTTGAAAGCCCAGTGACTCGACAAATCGACAGTTCGGCTCAAAAGCGAAGCGAGAATGTCTATTGAGCTGATCATGGTGATTCTTGAGGGATCAATGACATCAAAGATAGTATGCCAAAGCCAGTTGTTATCCCAAAAACACTGCGCCCTGTCTTCCTCAGTCCTTGTGTCACTACCCTCGGCGTCTCGGTCCTCTTGATTCAGAACAGACCATAACAAATTCCAGGACATGGGCGTCTCCGGCTGATGAGATACAGGAGGCAGAACACCCCAGAATTGACCATCCGGATATCGATTCTGGCCTGATCCGAGAGGAAGATCGATCAGGATAGTGAAGTTCTCAACGGAGGATGATAGGTTGTTTCTTCGGATGAAATTCAGGACCTCAATTTGTGATGCGACATCTTGTGCGACTGGCTTGTAAAATCGCCAAAACGGCCAAACGACATAACGGAAGAGTATTTTCATCACAGAACTTCTCCAGAGACGACATACCAAAGAAGCGTTCTTGAGGGGTGTATTTGGACCGGATGATACCGGCCTGTTGAGCTTTGCAGGGTCAAGATAAATGCGCCTTTGTAAATCAGATTCAGAGTCAAGAAAGCTGAGGATGTGAGCCACGAGCTCGTTTGGAAGATTTTGCATATTTAGCGAGGCCATGGTTCAGTCTGGGACATGTTTTGTTTGATTGCGGCCAAAACAAAAACAGGTTGGAGTTGCATTTTGGAGAGTCAGGAGTTTCTGCAAGTCGTTGTTTAGAAGGAGTACGACGATCTGATGACGGACTAGGATTACCCCACGTCACGTCACCAATAACTTCGGATACAGTGCAGCAACTCGGATTCGCTTGGGTATCCTGGGGAATAATGATAATTTGATTGGGTGTTTGTAGATCGAGACTGTGCGTCTGAAGAATGCAACTTGTAAGATGAGCTAGCCTATGAGAAGACTTATTGGAGCCTTATAAAACAAATATACATCAGTGTTAATATGCATGTGCTGTTTCATATCCATGCAAGGATCCAAACGGATACTAGTCGGACGTATCAAGTGTTTGTAAGTGACTACAAGGAATTGTTTATGCCCTCCCTACGGCTATCAGAATACAAGCAGCGGACTGTGCAACAGTAAACGCCTTTTGAATCTTGTTTATTGCAAGTACCCGTCTTTATTCTACCTTACCTTGTCACTTCAATTTATTCTGACGATGCTTTGTCTTGTGAACTTGCATGAAAGGGACATTGGATTTCCTATGACAAGGTGAATAATATCCATACTCAAAGGTATCGTTTAAGAACTCACATGAAGTCAAAGGGTCTGATACTATATTGCTACTTTGATTATCCCCTTTTGCCAAAGCGAGTCCTTGATAAATGGACCACGGCGCATAGGAACATCAATGTTGTGCTCTTGTGCGGTCCGTATCCGATACAAACGAGTCTATCTATATACGAATTGATATCAGATGTTAATAGCTGCGTGAAGAGGTGAGCTACCTGATTTGCGGAATGGATGCTTAGGATAGGAGACGCTTGATTCTGTCCTGACCCCCAGAGACTTATCATGCAGAAAATGAAGGTAATTCAACTCCATTGCACACTTGATGAGTTTTATAAAGCTTAGGGCATTCTTCAGAACCAAGAGTATTTGCAACATCTAACGGAGGCAAGGTAAGTTAATGTTCCTCAAGGAATCTGCTCCTTCCGTTTGGATTGTTTATTGTTTTCTCTCCTTGCCTTCCTCCGATTGCCAGCCCTTGACAGGTACATGGCAGTGTCACTCCTTCTAGTAGGTTGCTGCCTCAAACTCTGCGATAAATGCCCGGGCTTCTTATGAATGTCTAAACAATTTCTCACTTTACTATCCATTAATTTACCAACACTCAAAATGGCGGCGATTGTTGAGGGCAGCCTGGATTCCCTGCTGACAGGGGATCTTTCTGATTTTACACAGCAAAGAGCTGCTATCCTCGAGCCGGCCTACAAGTCTTATCTCATATCCACAGATTTTCGTGAAGATTCACCCCGTCCCTCTTCGACATACCTGCTTCCATCATCCGAGGTTGTTGTCTTGATTTCGCGCTGCCCTGAGACTGAAGCTGCAACCGACCTGCACATCACCAAACTATCAGACACCTTTGCGGACAACTTCATAGGATACTGCCCCGAAGAGAAATGTGTGGTGTTCAAGGGTGAAAGAGGGTTGATAGACGACTTCATAGACTTCACCGAGTCAGTCGCAGGTGAAAAGGAAGTCACGGTGATCCTGAAGGCCCCAGAACAAATTCGACTACCTCTTGGCGGTCTAGAACATGGCCTCAAGTATGAGGAATTTGTGGCTCGTGTTGAAGTTCTCGAGTGCGCTCTATGGATTGGAAACTCGCCGAGCGGTATGTACTACTCCTCTTCCCTGTGCAAGAAAAGACGAGGCTCTCAAGCACTGGGGAGATAGAAGTACTCTGAGAAAGTGCCACTCAACTTACCCGACACTTTCATCACTTGTTCTCGACACCCAAGACCGAGCCTCCATCTTTACTATATCCCTTGAGCCTTGCCGATCTGTTAACACTCATATACTGACTTTGTTCAAAGAACAGGAAGAAGGCGGAATCTGTTTCACCAAACTTGCTACAGACCCTAAGCTTCCCGAGCCAGTCACATCCAAACGAGTGCCAACACCTGACTATGTCCACGTCACAGATGACAACAGTCTCAGTCTTGAAGGGCTTTCAAACATAAACTCAACCAACATCAGGAGCCCAATGACGGGTGCCTCATCCCCTTTGTCCGATCCTCCACCATCTCCTTTGATTCACACTCCGTCATCTCCTCTATCTGACCCTCCCTCTGATATCGATGAAATTTCATTGCACAACTGGGACGACTTACATGCGTTGTCTTCTTCGTCTGAGGGTGGCGAGACCCCTCCCTCGCTCCGGGAGTGGGAATAAAAGTCACTATCAAGCTCGGTTGGAACGAAACACAAAGGCTTCTGACTCGATAAGGGAATGGGATGAGAGCGATTTCGCATGTACAAAAACAGCTACTGTGGGAGGGCCAGCTTGGAGGGTGCTACTTCTCGATGACAGTAACAGCTTGTCAGTGGAGTTTCTTCAAGCTGCTTTAATATCCAGAAAATATGACCAAAAGGCGCAAACCGCACCACTAGTTTAAGGTCTCAAATTATCATCCACTCACTTCGCCTCGTAGCATTGCAAAGAAGAAAATTGAAGTGAAAGCAATTAAGCTCTATGTTCATTCATGTGTAGTGTAGTGTAGTATCTAGGTAGATTATGTGTAAGATCGTAGTCTAAACGCCAGCCAATGCCAAGTATTAAATCCAAAGTTCTAAGGAGGGAAAGAATAAGAATGTCCGCTATCCAAAAAGCCTCATATGCATCTCATAAAATCGTAGAGTTGCGCCGTTTACTTCTTGAGACCGCAGTCAGAAGGGTTGGCGTGGTAGACCTGGGCGTTGATGCGGCCGAGCTTGACAGCCTGGCCGTTTGTGAGGGCGTTCATGGCATCGAGTCCAATGTTGAAGCCAGAGGCAGCGTGGTCGATAGCGAGGACGTTGATCTTCTTGCCCTTGTACTCGAGGCGGTAGCAGCCACCACAGTTGGCGGAGTTCCAGCCCTCGATGATGTTGACACCACCGACGTACTTGGTAGGGATGTTGCCCTGAGTCTTCCGGCCATACTTGGTGATGAGACCGTTCTTGCCATCAGAGCAAGAGACAGCAGTCATGGGGCGGGACTTGTCATCGTAGCCAGTGTCGTAGGAGACTGGAATAATTGTTAGTGAGCGAAGACATATTAGAGAATAGTGTGGATAGACTCACCAGTGGTGGCCGAGACGGCGGAGGTGAGAGCAAGAGCAGAGAGGACACCGGACAGCTTCATGTTGGCGGTTGTTGTTGGGTTGTTCGTGTGTAAGTGAAGAGGAAAGTAGTGGTGGTGTTGAGGAGTGTTTGGCTGGAAGCTTGAAGAGGATGAGAGTGGTTGATTGTTGTTGAGAGTGATGATACAAGAAAAGAATAGAAATCTGGACGAGACTGAAGGCTCTTCTTATATCTGAGTTCTCACAACGATCTCTAAGAAATCGAACGAACGAACCATGCATCTAACGTTACCCATCACGGCCCTCGGGTGATCAGCCTCTCCACAGCCAAATCGAGGACACCACCAGGAAGGCTGGAGGCTGGACAAACCTAGATTGTCTCCATATAGCGTCATAGCTGGCATTGAATAGCAGATGGACTATCACAACCCGGCCGAGAAGCTACCCAAGCTCCATTCGTATTGACCGTCTCCAGGTGCCATCGCTGCCAAAGTTGGCTTTAGCAACGGATGCCAGAGCAAGGCTAGGCCACGCCGTATGCTATTTCGAGGAGCGGATACAGAAGCTAGAGCCTAAAGGTAGGACGCGGCGTGCGGAAAGGTTGCTCGCATTACAGTTGACTATAGACAGGCCCAGAACCTAAGATCCAGAATATTTCCCGTCATACAGGGGGGTGTAGGGGTTGATTTCTGCCGGTCATGGCCCCCATTTTGGGGCGTTGTGGGGTAACGTTGGGTTGTTTCTGGCGAGGAATACCTCGTATTCTTGAGCTCAGCTTGAAGCTAGTGTCGTCCTGTGAACAGCACGACGTAACGTAGCCCCAGCGCATTGAAGAGGCTCAGGCTCACTAAGATCTGTAATATCATAGTAAGGCTACACTAAGGTTATCATGATGACCTTGTTACGGAAAGGCCGGTCATAGCTCTGGCCTTACTTTGGTAATACTTTACTGTTGAAGACTCAATGTTGAATAATTAGTCTCACGGATTAGTATATCACCTCGTTCGACCGACGTGCCGAACCAGTGATCCCATGACCTCACCGCCGAATAGCTGCATCGTCTATTCACGACTAGTCACGTCTTTTCAACAAGCATGACTGATCTCAAGGGTCCTGCCTGTCTGTCTCAGACTAGTCTTGCTCGTATTCCTCCCTGCGTTGTCGATGCATCAAAGAACCGTCAATAACTGGAAGCCCAAAGAGGAATTAATTGACAGTATGGTCTGGGCTATTGACGTTGTATTGCATCGTGAAAACAACAAAAACACCAGGCCAAGAACATCGGATTGTGGATCGATAAAAAAAACTCCGCAAATGGGAGTTTTAGCAACATGGATGATCCCATGGGGCATCAAGAGAACACGAGAATTTGAACGTCATGGGCTCAGCGATCTTCCTTGACAAAAAGACCTCAAGGATCCATTGTTCAAGTGCCGGAATTTCCGGCACTGGTGCAGTTACGAGACGGATCCAGGATCTGGTCCTGTTCTGCTTGTGCCCGAGAAGTGAATCCGACGTGAGAACCCGTGATGCACTATTGACATTGACATCATGGTGGTGAGATGCCAATTGAGGTCCTGTGCTATTTTGGGATATGGAGCTTGGATGTTCTGGAAGCCTCTGAGTAGTGGGCTGTCGGCATAGCCGGTTGGGTTGGGGTCACTTGTTGACGGAAAACACCATCGAAATGCTAAAGGCTGGGAGTGTGTCACTTATTGAATAGCTCCATGAGACAACTGATCTCCAAATACTATTCAAGTTAGGATAGTGCATGTAACTTCAGCTAGAATGTCAGATCATGAGAAATAATTCGCCCAGAGGCTGGATCGTCAAGATTGACGTATTCTTTGACAGGGTATGCCAGTTTGCACAGCAGTGGACTTACTAAAGCCAAGTAATGCATACACGGATTTCTACAATCTTCAAGATTTCTCTACTAAGCAAACTGAGGCCCACAAACATACAGGTCGCAAACAATGCGTTGGGCAGAGACAACGGTGCAGCATCGTATCCGTTAACGTCAGATATAGAGGATCAAGCTGAGCCTCATAAAGGAAGTCAAGGATGCAAAAAGAGTGGCTCTTCTCGTATCGAAAAACTACATCAAGGCAACAAACATATTCCTTATGCATAACGGCTCAGATAAGATTATCACCAGCAGACTTATAACCCGATGGCCCGATGCAAACCACTCCGATATCCCAGCGCAGCGCAGCTCAGACCATTCAGTGTCCAAATTTAGCTATCAGGATCCCTTCAGCAAACTCTCTTATCGACCAATAGATAGCCTCTCGATAGATGAATCCAACCCCGCCGCAACAGTTCTGGACTGAAGAGCCAGAGTATTTTACCCCGCCAAAAGCCATTCACTCTGCTGATGTTGAAGCAAATTTTCAGTAATAGGGCGCCCAAACCGCATGTTTTTTTGCTCATGTGGTGGAGAGCTCCGTCATCGGGGAGATTTTGACCATCATGTCAGTCACAGTAATAGACGTTTCCACTATCGGCGAGACTTCCTCTGATGTGACATTTCATTCTTGAGTCTGCAATTCGAATTCCTCTGTCGTGAGGAGTCAGAAAAGGTCGTTGGAGTTGTACTAGCCCCGATTTGCTTCGCGCCGTTAGACCCTCTCCTCGCTATCTTGTCTCAAAACTTTCCTCCCAGTAACAAGCTCCAGTTCCGAACTTCGGCATACACTACAGCAAGCAGCAGCAGCAGCAGTCATGGAATCATTCATCATCAAGACCCCCAGCTCCAGCGCAAACATTGGCCCTGGCTTTGATGTCATTGGCCTTGCTCTGTCCGTCTACCTTGAGCTTCATGTAACCATCGATCGGTCAAAGACAAAGTCCGAGCACCCGCTCAACTGCAAGATCACATACGAGGGAGAGGGCGAGGATGAGATCAGCCTTGACCCCCAGGTCAACCTTATCACACGTGTAGCGCTCTATGTCCTGCGCTGCAACGACCAGAGGGCGTTCCCCGTTGAGACCCACGTGCATGTCAAGAACCCTATTCCTCTAGGTCGTGGCCTTGGTAGCTCAGGTGCCGCTGTTGTTGCTGGCGTTGCTCTGGGCAAGGAAGTTGGAGGATTGAAGCACCTCGACAATGACCGACTATTTGACTACTGTCTCATGATTGGTAAAACTAACCCTCCGATCGACTCAATTACACGCTAACCGCAATTCCAGAGAGACATCCTGACAATGTCGGAGCCGCCCTCTACGGAGGTTTTGTCGGAACATATCTCAAGCCCTTGACTCCCGAAGACGTTGCCCGAACCGAAATTCCGCTTAGTGAAGTTCTACCTGCGCCAGCCGGAGGTGAGGACACGGGCAAGAAGCCACCGAACCCTCCCTACGGAATTGGTCACCATATCAAGTTCCCATGGGCCAAGGAGATCAAGGCTGTTGCTATTATCCCTGACTTCCAGGTTGCTACACATGCTGCACGAGGAGTGCTACCTGCGAACTACACTCGTCCCGATGTGGTATGCCAAACCCCGAATGTCTCGTTATGATGAAGCTAATCCACGGCCTTAGGTCTTCAACCTGCAGAGAATTGCCCTTCTGCCCGTCGCCCTGGGCCAGTCCCCTCCCGATCCCGAGCTCATCCATCTTGCCATGCAAGACAAGATTCACCAACCCTACCGCCAGACTCTCATCCCCGGTCTGACCGAGATCGTCGAAACAATGTCTCCCAAGACCGACGAAGGCTTCCTCGGTGTCTGTCTATCTGGTGCTGGTCCTACCATTCTGGCTCTTGCTACGCACAACTTTGAGGCTATCGCCGCTAAGATTATCGCTAAGCTGCGAGAACACAACGAGAAGAAGGATCTACCGTGCCAATGGATGGTGCTTGAACCCGCGGAGGGTACCCATGTCATTCGCTCATGAGTATGAAATTGTGAAAACAAATACCATGAGAGGAAGCAAGATGACCTTGCAATCAAAACCGTGGCTGGGGTTGCATAGACATGTGTATCACGTAAAAGGAATTATGTTTGGCTGGCAAACTTCTGAGAAACGAGGATAGAGGGTCACGCCAAGGTATGGAGTATGTGAGAACGATTCAATGAAATAACGCAATAAAAGGGAGATTTAGATATAAATTTTAATTCGACTTATGAAAATGGTAGGCGGGCTAGATATATTGTATACGTGATATCTTGAACCAGGCCACGTAACTCGCATCGTGGTCGTTATGAAGTTCCAGATAGGTAGGACTGAATGTCATCATGAGATATGTATTTTTAAAGTATAAACAGAATAAACTTAGAAAAACCTTCAAATACAAGGATCCTGCAATGCTAGCATTCCATTCTCTGAAAAAAGGAACATCAGCCGAATATCTCGTGCGGCTATAGGTTAGTTCCGCTTCGGGATATGTGAACAGCCATTTCCGTTACAATAAGATAGTTACATACTAGCTGCTCAATACTGGGGAGCTGAATATCGATATTCAATTGAGGTGATAGGAATTTCGATTTGATTCATAAACACCCTGAGCTCTGCTTGATGCGATGTTCAGAAACCAGTATGGGTGAGTTGGCTTTCTGTCCATGTACAACCATTGGCTGGCCCATATCAATTCACAGCCACTTCATGATTCTATCAACCGAACCGGAAACTATCCCGTTGTTTTCCAGATTGAGGGGAAGGTTTCCACCGATCTCGGCGGGTATTACCATCTTTTTGTCTCGATAGGCCGAACCGTTGCCTTTCCCCAACTCCAAGACTATAGTTTCGCTGTAACCTACCCCGAAGAACCGAGGTTTGGCTTGCATGACGGCAAATGCGTGCTTATAATAAACAATGTCCTCAGCGAACCCCTCACGAGTTGATAATTCCTCTGTTCTTCTTAATTCATTTGTGACATAGAAATCACTGCCAAAAATGTCTGCTCCTCCGCCCAAGGGTATCTACGTGCCCGTTCCCACGTTCTTCGCTTCTAAGAAGACTGCCAACTACAACGCTATTACCCCTCCCATCGATATTGAAACACAGGTCGCTCATTCTGTCTACCTGGCCAAGAATGGAATCAAGGGTCTAGTCGTTCTCGGTAGCACAGGCGAAGCTGTTCATATTCACCCTAGAGATCGCCACGCCATTCTCAGTGGTATCAAGGCTGGTCTCGAGAAGGAGGGTTTCAAGGATTACCCTATCATTGCGGGCACAGCGACAAACAGCGTTGAAGAGACTGTTGAACAACTCAAGGATGCTCAAAAGTCGGGTTCCCAATGGGGATTGTGTCTCGTTCCTGGGTACAATGCCGGTGCAGTTACACAAGAGGGTATCATCCAATGGTTCACTGCTGTTGCTGACCAAAGTCCCATTCCTGTCATGATGTAAGCCGTCTCGACCCAATTATACCAAAACCCCGGACTAACCAGATTGCTCAGCTACCATTACCCCGGAGTCTCAAACAACGTCAAAGTTGCACCTTCGACATATGCCACACTTGCAAAGCACTCTAACATTGTCGGTTGCAAGCTCTCTCATGGAGATGTCTCCGTAGCTGCGCAGGTTGCTTCAAACCCATCCATCGATCACACCCACTTCCACTGTTTCACAGGCCTCGGTCAACAGCTCCTACCTGTTATTTCAGTTGGCTTTGCCGGCGCTATTGATGGCTCAGCAGGCTTTTTCCCCAAGTCACTGGTGCGACTCTTCGAGCTGTCGTCCAAGACCCAGCCCACAGATGCCGAGATCCAGGAGCGAAGACTACTCCAGTTCAAGGTTAGCTCAATGGAGGAGCTTGTGGTCAAGTTTGGTACTGTGGGTATCAAGGATGCTATTAGCAGACTGAGAGGCTTTGGAGACACAGACGGTACGAGGTTGCCGCTCGTGGGTGGTATTCCCGGTGGTGATGCTGAGTGGGCGAAGTGGAAAGGAGTCATTGGTGCTGTTGATGAGGTTGAGAAGTCGCTATAAGCACTTAAAAGTATAGAATAAAGAGGAGAATAAACTTCAAACATAAGGATCAGAATCAGTAGACAAACCAACTTTAGAACTGTGTGATCTTGCACCATCATCTTGTTCATAGCATCTAATTCACTGGTTCATGGACAAACTTCATAGGTCCAGACTTGCGACTGAGCTCTTATCAAATAACCGGGCGAATGGTTTAGTGGTATAATACTCCCTTAGCATAATTCGACCGAATAGTCTGGGAGTGGTCCAGGGTTCGATTCCCTGTTCGTCCATTGCAGGTGGTTAGATTCCACCGTATCTCCTCTTTTTGCAATCAAAGCAACTTTTATCTTTTTATTCATATAACCTTCGAGTTGGCTGATGTGATGCTATTCAAGACAAGTGCTTCTAACAGAAATCCTGCTTCTCTGTGCGGCAAGCTGACGTGTGATAAATGGATAAGGTCGCTGTCAGATTCCGTATCTTGCAGTATTTTGCATAATGAATGCTCACCGAGTCAGCATGCAATGTCGTAAGGAAGCCAGCATAAATCTGGCGAGACCTCCTTGTTATAATGCTCTTTTGTTCCCTTTCTCTGCCTGTTATTCTCTGGTAGAAAATGATTCAATTTGTCGTTGATTCTTCTCAACACTTTCGTTGCTTACACAACTCAGCCGAGTCGCGTTCCCACCAAAACTCCGTGCCTCGGCTCCTTCACTAATCGATAGTGGCATATCTCACAAAAGAGCTTTGAACTTTTCAAGGGGCAATTAACCTCAGGGCCTTGGACACTCACTACCTACGGCATCCTCGGCGTTCGTCACAGGCTTCCTTGATTGGCAAGTCACCGTCGCACGAGATAGCGCGGGTTTTTATTAACCGCAACCGGTTGAGACAAATACCGACTGAATCCCATCCTTTCATCCCTCAGGGTTATCGCGAACACCACAATCGCTCATCATGGCCGGCGCAAATAAGAAAATGTTTGGGCTTTCCCATGTGGTTCCTGTCATCATGCCTCTCGCTCTAGGTTCTGCTGGATATGCTGCCTATCGGGTCAATTGGGGTCCTCTGATTAAGGCTTTCCTCACAGGACCTGGCCGGACGTCGCGGATCCTGTTGCTGTTGTTCGTCGTGTTCAACTGGAAGAGCATGCCCTTTGCTTGGACTGTAAGTCTCGATGGTCTCTTCTGGCTTTAGTATAACACCCTGACACTCTATAGTACCGAGTCTTCTACGTGATCTTCTACCATACCTTCTGGCGCAAATCGCCAAATCTTGGACCCGAAGCCCTCTTCAAACCCATGATCTCTACCACCCACGCCCCTCTTCTCGAGATCGACTACAACTTACACAAGTCTAATTCGACCTATTTCGCCGATCTCGACGTCTCACGATCTCACCTTGTTACATATCTCTGCCGCGCATCCTATATTACACTCGCCCAAAACACCAAGACGAAGATTGTCCTAGATCCCAAGACCGATAAGCCTATCAAGGGCCAGATGAGCATCATACTTGGTGCTGTCGAGTGCAGCTTCAAGCGCGAGATCCCTGCGTATAAAAGCTTCGAGATGTGGAGTCGCATTCTATGCTGGGACCGCAAGTGGTTATACATCGTGACACATTACATCCCCAAGGGAGCTGCTAAGCCAACATCATGGCTTGACCCCACGTTCAAGAAGGTTTCTGCGCGAGGCCCTCAAGATGCTGCCGGTGGATGGGAGAAGAAGATCTATGCTACGGCCATAAGCAAGTACGTTTTCAAGTTGGGTCGCTTTACTGTGAACCCAGCCATCATGCTTGGCGGCGCCTCTGGTCTACTACCTGAGCGACCTGGAGGTTGGACATCTGGTGAACAGCAACTCGGCGATCTTTCTGCTGATGTCTCAGATGTGGACTTGGATGTCCCTGGAGAATGGGATTGGCGACGTGTTGAGGCGCAGCGACGTAAGGGTATGGAGTACGCAAAGCACTTCCAGGAGCTCGATAACTTGCATGACTTGTTTGATGGAGGCAATGAAGGCGCTCTTGGCAAATTCACACCCTAAATCAAGCGAGATAGAATGTGTCAGACCAGACAAAGTTGGATAAATAGAACTAGAACATATACGTGGGCAGCAACCCGTCCTTAGATATCGGCGTTGTATAGACGGATCGTCAGAGCTAGAAGGAAAACAGGGTGGTATCTTGAGTGCCTCATCGGTAGGCACCTTTAATGAATATATGACGCTTGAAGACGGCATCGAAGGCTACCAAGACGTAGACTAGAAGATCATGAAAAAAATCTCTTAGGTCGTTATCCCAGCCTCAATACATTGTTCAGTCGAACATACGGAGGGAGTATGAAAGATTTTTAAGTGGATTTCTTTGCAAATCGTCCATAAGAAAGTATGGTAGGTCGGCTCCGTTGAACAGAAGACAAAAGGCCTCGCAGCCTAGATTAAGTTCAATATCACATCAAAAGATCAACAGTCAAAGTGGCAGCTACTATCTATCTTGGCATCGACACCCGTCCCCTAAACGAGAAGTTTGAAGTTTTTCAGTTGACATAATTTGGTGGTCCACAACGTCAGGTTTTCTGACTCGGTGCTTGACTCTATGTTTGGTCATCATCACAAAAACTTCAACCCATCTCATCCAGGTTCGAGTCTCTCCCAAAGAGGGGAACTTCCAGCGAAGTTTAGAGTGTAAAAAAGGAAAAGACCGTCACCCAAAGGTCAACGGGATGCCGGCCCCTCGCATCAAGAATGAGCCCCATCGAGTAACCCAGCTTTCGCCGAGCAATCGCATACCTATCAATCTCGACAACAAATCCTCTGCGACCCGATACCACACGCGCGAGCACCAAGCGTCTACCAACCATCAACCTGCCAGACGACTCGTCTGTCGCGAAACCAACCAATCTCTCGGCAGCGGACTCATATCTTCATCCAAGGGGACCGATAGCGGCAGAGAACGCGATTCAGAGCCTTTAACAAACTGATGTAGCGGAGGGCAGGGCCGGTGCAGGACGCGGGCCTGGGTGCAGAAGTCAGCCGCTGTGCTTCTATGGCGGCGCGTTTCCGCAAGCTCCGTCGAAACGAAGATGTCCGGGGACTTTCTCCCAAAGCCAGAAAGAATGCGAGACGCTGCGATAAATCGCAATGTCTCTGTTTGTAAGCTTCGAATGGCGATTTTTTGAGCGAGGGGCGCGGATGAACAGAAGAAAGAAGAAAGAAAAATTGTATCCAGCTCAAGTTGAATTTTTATGCACGAAATGGGGCTGAAGTGTGGCGCTATGAATCAGAGCTCCCAGATGTGGCTGTACCTTAGCTTGCTGCCTTTTTTTGTCTGACGCGGGTTGGCCAATCCCAACTTCGCGTTGGAAAGGCTGGGTCGCTGCCTTCGTGCCTGTTTATTCATTCTCAGTACAAAGCTCGCGGCGCAACTAGTTTCAACAGTGCAAACATCAATCCTCTAAAGATCTGTTTTTTATCTGAGATTAGTCGCTTGGCCAGTTGGAAGCTTCGCTCATAAGCCACTTATTTTGAGTCTCAGGAGTGGTATCTCAAAGGCAAAAAGACAGAAAAAGGGCCACCGACTGGCTTTCAACTTCTCTCCTTCAACACACCGCAACCATGTCGACCCTTTTTGGCGGTGCCTCGGCCGCAGCGACGACAAGCAACACTGTTGGGGATCTCAAGCAAGACGTCGCGCTCTCCGACCCCCCTACCGATACCATCTCCGACCTTTCCTTCTCCCCTGCGCCAAACGGACCTGACTTCCTCGCCATCTCCAGTTGGGATAACAAAGTCCGCATTTACGAGATTGCCGCCAATGGCCAGAGTCAGGGCCGACACGCCTACGAACACAGCCAACCTGTGTTGAACTGCGACTTCTCCAAGGTACGAAGATATAATGATCGAGCGAAACGGAATAGCAACTAACTGGGTTTCTAGGATGGAACAAAAGTCGCCTCTGCCGGCGCCGACAAGAACGTCAAGGTCTGCGATCTTGCCTCCCAGCAGGACGTCGTTATCGGCACACACGACCAGCCAGTGCGAACATGTCGATTCTTCCTGAACGATGGTAACCCCATGGTGGTTTCGGGCTCGTGGGATAAGACGATCAAGTACTGGGATCTTAGACAACAGGGACCTGCGGCAACCGTACAATGCCAGGAGCGAGTTTATACGATGGACGTCCGCGATAATCTCTGCGTTGTCGGCACCGCCGATCGATACATCAATGTTATTGATCTCAAGAACCCTACCAAATTCTACAAAACCCTGCAGAGCCCTCTCAAGTGGCAGACCAGGGTGGTTAGCTGCTTTACGGACTCTGCTGGTTTTGCTATCGGTAGTATCGAGGGTCGTTGCGCTATCCAATACGTCGAAGACAAGGACGCCAGGTAAGAAGCCCCTCGAATACGCATCTCTTGACCGGCTTAGACTAACACATTGCAGCTCCAACTTCTCTTTCAAGTGTCATCGCGACCCCCCAGCCAACAGCGTCACCAATGTCTACGCCGTCAACGATATTTCTTTCCACCCCGTTCATGGCACATTCAGCACTGCTGGTTCCGATGGAACATTCCACTTCTGGGACAAGGACGCCAAGCACCGTCTCAAGGGCTACCCTAACGTTGGTGGCAGCATCACTTCCACAACCTTCAACAAGAACGGTTCCATCTTCGCCTATGCTGTAGGCTACGACTGGGCCAAGGGCTACCAGCACAACACTCAGAACTACCCTATCAAGGTGATGCTGCACCCTGTCAACCAGGACGAGTGCAAGCCCAGACCATCGCTCAAGAAGCGATAAAGAATCACACGAATATCAAGAGGACGGGCTATAGGGAAGGGAATGGATTTCGTTGGTCGATTAATAGTTAGTTGCGTTCTTGCGATTATGTACTGTACCACAATTGGTGAAGACTCAAAGATTGATAGGAAAGAGCCGAAAAGGATGGAACGTTGAGTTTGGACCAAAAAGAGCAAGGCAATGCAGGTGGTGGTGTTTTACGAGAGATGATACCATAGATGCAATAAAACATCAACACAAACCTGGCATAGTATCCAATGGCATTCAACTTCACACATATCATCATATGGTAACGCAGGGAGATGAGTCAGTGGGCTTGTGGACGAATGCGTCGATGATCTGATAGTCATTATTCACAGTTATAAAGCTTGAGTTGCAAGGATAACAAAGGATCGGTATTGATTCCAGTCTGCCACTTGGGCTTTCACTTTACCATTGTGTATCGTTGTATAAAAAAAGGATGGTTCTTAGCCACAGGAGCCTCTTGTAACGGGCTATTAATTGATGCAACCGCATCTTGCTTCGCATAAACAGATTAAAACGCTTAATAGATCATCAGCTCTCTTTATGAGTAGCTGGCATAACCAGACTCCGCCCTATCGTTCCTTTCGTGTTTTCACTTGATTCTTAGTTTTTGCTGAGCGTGCGTCCAGGAAGAATATCCTGGATCATTCCGCCGAAGACGTCTCTGAGAAAGGTACTTCGGTCAGAGTCATCTGCCTTTGTTTCCTGAGCAGGCTGCTCATGAACAAACTTGACGTCGACGCTGTCCATGTTCACGGCATCCATGGTAGCCATGGGAGCACCGGGAACGACGACATCGGGGTCAACAGCGAAGATGACGGGCCGCTTGCTATACAAGTCGGCGGCATCGGACATTGAGCTGTGGTAGGCGCCATAGTTGTCAGGGAGAAGAGGCATACGAGGGAGAGGCTCGTTGAAGTTGGGGGTAGCGTGAATCTTGGGCAAGACTGTGCTGTCGACGTGGTTGACAGGAGCACGAGAAGGTGTTGAAGAATGGAAGCTCTGCATCAGTGGCCTTCGGCGACCAGAAAGAGATGGCTGAGGAGTAGGGCGGTGGGTAGTCTTTAGACCACGGGACTGGAAGCATTGTTAGTACCGGAGAGCTGCAATGACTAATTGGAAGAGTAGAAACTCACCTCAGAGTGCTGGGACTGCTCTGAAGAAGCTCCAAGGAGCTCGGCATACTTGGGCATGAGAGCGATACCGGCATGGCGCTGAGACTCGGCCAGAGAGCGAGTGAGCTTTGAGACGGGAGCGGTGATTCTAGGCATTGTGATAGAGTTGTATGTGACAAAAGACACAGAGGTTTGTTGTGGTGGTAGCAAGGTGTTGGCCGTGTCCAGCTACTTATACGTTTGGCGTAGTAGGTATGGATCTGATTGAGTGTGGTTGGTAAGGCAAGGTAAGGTAGTGTACGGATAGCGGTGACCAAGTCTAATCAGGCGATGAGAAGAGTGGAGGGTCCACGGATGCAATGGATAGATGATACAGGCAGGCACAGGTATAAGTGGAAGCAATTGGATGGTTCAATTGGAGGGAGGGAAGGAGGGTTTATGTATCCAAGTGTGACTGAGACACCAGGTAAGATAAGCTAGAGGAGGGGGAAGGCGGGAGGGAGCCTCTGGTAGCTTGACCTCAAGGTGAAGCAAGCGCGGATGCTTGTCCGGGAGGCCCGTGTGATCTGGGGATGGAATGAGCAACAGCAACAGCAACAGAAACAGCAACGGGGTTGAGGAAAGACTCACTCACTCACTCACAGCCTCCACATCCTTGGAAGGTACGGTACCGATCCCGCCCTGTTAGCTCACCTTATTTTAGCGACTACAGCGTTGATCCCGCTAAAGGTAATGGAGTGTGGAGAGTATGTGCAGTCGGAAGCTGATGTTGCTTCTGATAGTACCAAAGCAGAAGGAAGGGTTGTGTCAAACAACTCTCACCCTGCAGCACATCCATTCTACTGTAAGGATTGATGAGCTTTCAAACGGCTATCTTCGCTGCGAAACATCACGGTATCAGAAACCTCTAAATATATCTCTTTCGTTTCGTTGCAAACAAACAAATGAATAGCATTAGCACCAAAATCAGCAAGGATACGAAGCAATGACCATACCACAATATCATGGCAGTTCCCGACTCGGCGACGAAATACCGAATGCCGCCCGGTGCAAACAAGGTCCCTCATGCAAGTGGCACATCATTAAACACACCAATGGTTGCTAATAAATACATGTTGAGGTCCAATCAACTGCCTTGAAATAACCCAGGCTACTACAGTACAGTACTTAGCATTCACCGTTTGGGCCAGCTCATGGGGAGGGGCATCACTGCGTTACTGATTCCTCATCAAACTTCACGATAGGTAGCCGTCTCCAGCTTTCGTTCTGCTGAGAAATTGGGTCCATGGTCCACCCCAGGGCTGGAAAGGAGGCAACTATGGGGCTTCTCCAAGTCGATTTCCAGCTCGATCACTTGTTTTATCGAACCATAGCTTGCTTGAGCCGTCAAAGCCCGAAAACATCAAGAGAGTACGGAGGTTCATACCAAAAGTCTTTGCCCAAGATGACTTACGCCACAATTGCCGATCCATGTCAGGTACATGAGAATACAAGCGATAAGAAGGGTATAGAGGAGCTGCCCTATAGTAGCCCTATAGTTACAGGGCATTTAAGGGGAATTAATGAATAACTTAGTGGCTATGACTGCTATAGTTTAATTATTATTAGTGGCTGCTACTTCGCTTGATGTACCTCTAGTATCTTATCAAAAGTGGGTCATCCAGCCACAGTCACTTTGGGCAAAGACTTTTGGTACCGACCTCCGTAGAGTTGAGGTTGAGGCAACCAGTCAGAGGTGCCAATCACAAAGCTACCCTGTGCCTGGCTCAGTGTTTTTATATCACAAACCTCCAGAGATAACAGTATCAGATCAGAGGAACAGTGGCGCCAACTTACGACAGCTTTGGATACTGTGTGTAATGCATACCAATGCTATGCAAAGAGTGTCGCAATGTGCCGCCGGAAGAATCGCCATGGCGCCATCCTCACAGCCTCCAAAACCATCACTACAACGAAACAGATGCGTGAGTGGAATTCGTTGAGCTTGAAGCTACGTACTGTAACTTTAGGTGAGACAAGGGTCTACAGTACAAACAGAACAACGCCGCTTTAGCACCCCCTGTCTTACACTCAACCTTTCGCCTACAACTAATAAATGCCAATGGTCGCTGACGAGTCTCGGCAGGGGACTCTGATCTGACGCACGTGGATTGTGCCTGTTGCTCTTGAGATCGCCATTCTTTGAACCAATTGTTGGTCTAGCACTAGCAGGGCGGTCAGAAGCCAGGTGTACTGGATACACTGTTTTGAAGACACCTCTTACATAGTTACGCGTCGATCACTCTGCTGTTAAGTTCGGAACCCGAGTACGCAAGGCCTAGTCTAGTCAATCTGGCTGCGATATCATTACAACCTCTTGAAATGAAGCCAGCCGCTGACTTCTTTCCGCCTCGCGTTTCTGACTACGTATATAGATCACGCCGATCGTGCAGCTTAAAGCGGCATGGTAGCGATTAGTGTATGGGAGCGCGGCACTGAGCAAGGTTTGAAGAGCGGGAGAGGACCCGTGACACCCCCAAAGCTGTCAGTGAACAGGGAGTCAAGCGTCTCCTGGTCCACTTCTAGAAACCCGCCAACTCGGTAGGTTGCTTGAAGGCCGGAAGTCCCCCTTGGGCCGGGGAGACAGAGCGGACTCCGTAAACAGATGGTCCTGTTTCCTACACCTCAATTGGGCTTTCTACCGGCAATCACTTGATCCCTTTCTTGCGGATTGAGATTTTGAATTGCCTCGGCTCAGAGCACGGAAAACCTCCGACGTCAGAGATTCGGCATTCAATGTTATCAGATGAAAGATCTGGAAGTCACGAGAACTGATCAGGGCCAAGAGCAAGCACAGTCGAGACCAAGACTGGATCTTGCTCCTGGGTCCTGGGCTGACCCGTGCATAAACTGAAGACCGTGTGAATATTGGGATTCGCGCGCGTCTGAGATTGTTGAGCTGCGCTGGCGGCTGATTTCAGTTGCACAGTTCGGATTCCAGAAGGAATTCTCCAGCCAAATTCAAACAAGGCAGAGCTAGAACCTAGACCATAGGGGCTTAAACCAGGGGGCGATTGCTATTGTTGGAATTACGGTGGCGCCGGTCAACAAAAATTGTTGAACGGGGCCTGCCTTCAAGGCTTCCTCACCTTGTCCTCACCGTAAGAGCTAGGGCCCCTAGTTCATCATGGATGGCTGTGACCTTGACACCACCATGTGCTTGACCGAAAACATAGGCGATCGGATTTCCTCCCGTTCTTCAAGATACACGATTACGAGTTGATTCAGGGGCTGATACCAGGAGGTCATGACGACGCTCAACAAAAATAGACACAGTATCATATCTTGAACAGAAACAAGATCTGCCAATCAATCTGTGGCTGTCTGTCTATCATGATGCACCTTTGTGTTATCTCGAAACTTTGTCTTTAGTTGTCAATGTCAGGGACTGGTTATGAACCCAAATATGAGATAACAACTAGAGGTTGCCGGGATACGATATCAGTCTCTCGACGTCGAACAGCTACGGAGCTGCAGTCTATCATTTTCTGAGCATCGGAACCTGAAAGCGAACCGGGCTTATCTTGTGTTGGTGGAGGTCACCGGTGCACCTAATTGCAGGCTACAGCCCATGATTGCTTCAGCAGGGACTGTAACGACCAAGAACTTATTGCCGTCAATGTCCATGGCAGGCCGACATAGGACATTCATCGGACATATGGCAGCTCTCTTGATCTCGGTACATAGTCACTGGAGTCCAGGACCTCGGCTTCTAGCCGAAGGTCTAGGAAGAACAGTTCAAGAAGAAGAACATGACGGACATAATGTCCGATTCGGAAGATAAAGTACGGAAGAGTCATATCTGATGCTCATGGGCTGTGGTATGATGGCACTGGACCCAACAGGGTATGATGAAAGTATCCGAGGTTCGATCAAGACATGGCAGCTTGGGCTACCCATGGTCGATTGATTGATTAGATTCAAACTTTGTGCCTTGCATCTGCTTTGCATACGCGAAACTCTCTCTACAAATCTTATGAAAACGACCAGAACTACAACCTTCAAGTGAAGAGATCATGATGTTAATTCCATCGGACTGTCGACTCTGGTTCCTGATTATTTGCAGGATCTGTGATTCTACATTTTCTTCTCCAATCGAGGCTACAGACCAGATCGTCAATGGCGTCACTGAAGAACCCCAAAAATGCCCCGCCATCGTCAGGTACAGCATCTAAATTTGGACATCGACGACTCATGATATGCGCCTTTTTGTGTACAAGAGTGGGAAAATATGACTTCTAAGTAGAAGAAACATTACAGAATCTGTTCTTTCACCCTTTCATTGAAAATCAGTGTCAATTTCGGTTTCCCAAGGAGAATAGACTGTTGCTTATCAATTTTCGATTCTGCTATTACCCCTCCCCCGCTTCAACCAACTCTTGCGATATCGCTTGGAAATACACAACCACAGACCTTTCCAGGACAAATCTTCAGGTTTCGCAAGATGGCAGACTCAGAATCCCGGAAACGAGCTGTCGACTCGCCTAAAGGTAAAGAGGCTAAACCATGCGTAACACAAGTTCTAACTTACAATCTCAGTCTGGACGAGTCTTATCACGAACCTGGATTACTTGCCCGGTCTTCTCACCCTCGAACATTCTCTTCGCGCCGCCAAATCTCGTTACCCTCTTGTGGCACTATATACCGATTCATTCCCCCCTGAAGGTCACACAGCTCTCCGTGCTCGTGGCATTGCCGTTCAGCACATCCCATACTTACTGCCAACCAAAGGCAAGGATTACTCCAATGACCCACGGTTCTACGATTGTTGGAGCAAGCTTGCGCCTTTCTCTTTGACCGAATATGAGCGCGTCGTCCAGCTCGACTCGGACATGCTTGTTTTGCGCAACATGGACGAGCTGATGGATCTCGAGCTGGACCCTCCTTCGATTGCCGAGACTGGTGATAAGACCGTCAGCAAGCGTGTCTTTGCAGCCGGTCATGCCTGTGTATGCAACCCCCTCAAGAAGCCTCACTATCCAAAGGACTGGATTCCTGAGAATTGCGCATTTACCTCACAGCACTCGAATCTCGATGCCGCGCAAACTGAGGCTGCCGATCCGTCAGTCGGACCCTTGGGCTTTATGAACGGTGGTTTGCAGGTCGTCAATCCTTCTCAGGGCCTCTATGCGCAAATTTTGGCGCATATGGAGGCCGACGCCGCCAATATGGATTTTGCAGACCAGTCACTTCTCTCAGACTTATATCGTGAGCGATGGGTTCCTTTGCCGTACATTTATAACGCGCTCAAGACGCTACGATGGAAAGGAGTCCATGATGCTATTTGGAGGGATGAGAGCGTCAAGAACATTCACTACATCTTAAGCCCTAAACCTTGGGATGAGATTAATGAGAAGGGTGAGTGGACGGGGAAGGAAGAGAGTCACAAGTGGTGGGTTGATGCGAACCGTGTCAGAAAAGAGTTGGAGAAAGAGAAGGGAGTCCCTGATGATGGCTTTTAAGAAGTTTGGGGCAGTGATAGTATTATGAGCATGGCCTTTGCGGCTAGTTGATAGTTCAAGCGAATGAGCTGAAGAATACACATGTGTTGAATGCAGAATATAAACAACAAGCTTTGGGCGATCCACTCTTTCATTCTGTTACAGGTATCTATAGTATCAAATCCAGTCCCAACAATAGGAAACATCCATGAGACAAAGAACCCTCCAAGTAATAATAATCCAACTCCTAGCTAAATGTGAAAAGAAAAATCAATCAACGCATGCCTGTCCTCTCCAGGGTCTATGTTGTGCATCTAAATGCATGTCCTGTTTTTACCGATCTATCACAGACGAGTGCATGAAGAAACATGCCTCTTTCTTAAAGAACAAAATATCCCTTTGGTCCGAGCACCGTTATATGCAGAGTCGATTGAAAAACACCGAGATGAAGATGGAAAGGACACGGGAGATCAGAGACACCTGTGATACTCCGATGTGATTGGTATCTCAATATCATTGCGCCATAATATGTTGCCCACATTCGTATCGTGTTCTAGATATGTTGAACGAGTCGACGAAGCGACTTAGTATCGTTTATATTTCTGGCAGTTTGTTAGTCAAGCTCGTTGACATGAACTCATATTGACTTACCTCCTCAATCCTTCGTCTGTTGTTGGGATCAATCGAGTTGGTGGCTCCCATTAGAGTCTGTCCTATTGCTCGAGTGACACCGACAGCGGATCTGAAAATGATCGTTGGTGCTCGCTTTAGCACAGCCTTTGCGGCGCCAGTAGCTGAAGAGCTCTCCATGACCTCGCCAGGAACTGCAATGATGGCATCGCGCACGAGATTCACATCTCTGGCAAGAGATCGGTATCCGCCCCGAATGCCTGAGATGACGCCCGTAGGTTGATCTGCATAGAGAGAGATTTGTCTCTGTTCTTCAGGGTCCATGTCATCCTCATCCCAGCCCTCGTATGCTTGTTGAGGGTCTGAAAGCATACCCTCGGCACCTTGTAATGCGTATTGTGTACCAACAGCAAGCTTGGCACCCAGCTTAACCAGTTCGGTACCGGTCGTGCGAGCAAAGGCTGTGGCACCCTTCGATATACTGCGGATCACACGTCCATCCTTCTTGTACTCGCGAATAGGCACCTCAACGAGGTCTCTGAAACCGCTGCCCACATTGACAAGGGAACGAACAGGTGCCAGACCAGCTAGAATGCCAGGAAGTTGGTTTGCCTTGACATCAGGCATCCAGATATCGTTGAGGGTCTTACCGAGCTTCTCAAATCCCGAGATACCATAGATGATGACATGGCGCAGAACCATTCTCGCCTCTTCGAGAACGATGAAGTTCATGAATTCAGTGGTGTGTCCAGAACGGAGACCAGCATAGTCAACTCGCTTGGGCTTGAAATCGAGCTTTACTGCTACGTTGTTGACCTCAGCTCTCTGAAGGAAGGGCACATCACTTTTTGACGTGTGAACAGGCACTTGGTCATCCTTGAACTCGAAAAATCGGGTGATGAAATCAAGAGCATCTTGATCCACATGCAGCCTCAGAGGGAGCAAGGTCGCTCTTAGCACAATCTCAGACGCCTCGAGTGAGGGCTGTGGCTTGACGTTGAGCAGTTCAAGATGAACCATGCTAGTGCCCATTTCTCGCTCTCCCATATCCTGGTCATAGGTTGCAAACTTCTTCCATGTTGAGGTTGGGACGTGGTCGAAAATGTCCAGGTTGTCAATGCGGATATCTATGCTGTTGAGAGTTTCCCCTGAATTTGGTGGGAAAACAAACAAATCTGCATCAACACCTCGTAACTCAAAGGTGATCTTGTGATGCCTGCTGCGTTTGAGCTTAAGTCGCTTCGACTTTGGTTGACGGGCACGTGCTGTCCTGTTGGTAGCAGAAGTGAAAGCCGTGGTTGCAACCGATTCAGTCTCTGTTGCATTGTCGTTCAGGCCTTCATTGATAGCTCGAGACAATTCTTGGGGATCACGGTTTGCTGGGATGCCGATGTAAATAGAATTAAAGAGAAAGTCTCCGATGGCCTCTTCATCCTCTAGCTCTTCCTCATAGACCTGGACTTGACCAGCACGGGCTTGTCGTTCGTATGCTTTGGCTTCAACGTCCTGAACTGCCTTCGTTATGACATCTCGCGTGTGAACCCAGTCATAGCCGTCAAAAAGGTTCCATATAACATGAACATCTCGTACGGATACCCTGACAGGGCTGCGCTTCACCAAGTCGCTGGGCGCCCGATCGTAGCTGTTCTTCTTCGAATTCCAGATCTTGGCTTTGCTGTCCTTTGAAGCGCCGCTACCATAGTAGTCTTCCTGGATGACAAGATCGTCAGAGTCAACTGTTTGCTGGCTTGCTGAGCCAAACCCGGTCAGTAATACACCCTCGTTAGTGTCTTTCATCTGGGGCCCGGAGCGATACGACCCATGTGAGATAATAGAGCTACTTGTGGCGTCGAAAAGCTCCTCGGCAACTGGCTCCTCGTCGTAAAATTGTGACTGAACTTGCAGCGGGCTGTCTGTGTTATAGTCGGCCTCTGAATCGCTCCCAGCCATCTCCTGAGCACCAGCAAAATCTTGGTCAAAATCGTACTCTCCCTCGGGCCTACCGAAAGCTTCAGCTGAAATAGAAGCGAGCAGATCCTGCATGGGGACTACATCTGTAAGATACTTATTCTCCTTACTCGGTGGAGTTGGTGGTTTCAACGCATTGGCCAAAGAGATCAGAGTTTGTGTTGAATCAGCGCATGTTTCCAGAACAAGGAGGTCATCTTTGAGCTCAACACAAAGCTGCTTCTCTCCATCATCGAGTTCCTTCACATCGACTACAAGCTTGGCGGATGAGATGTAGCAAATGTCCACATATCCTCTGGCGCACATATCCGCTACTTGGCGAGATGTTGAAGATGAGGCGCGCGGTCTTTGGGTGACTGGAAGTTCGCTTGTTGCAACTTCGGCAATGTCGTTGATCAGCAAGATGGATGACTTATTGATGGTGAAGACAGCATTGGTCTCCACGTCTTTGGGCAACACGGTGACAAGATGAGCATCTGTGAGAGCGATCACCATCTTCGAGGGTTGGCCCAGCGGGTTAAGTCCCAAAAGGCAATCTCGGAAGCCAATATCCAGAGTCATCGGCTTCCCACCCTTGCTCTTCTCACCCGGAGAGCCAGGCTGTCCAGTTAAAGCATAATGCGCGTGGTCACCAAGGTTTGCTACTGAGGCAGCAAGGCTGGCTTCGAAATCTTGGGGTGTGGCGTCTTCTCCAAGCTCGAGAATATCCATGATCGTAGGGACGCGGTACTCAATACACAGATCTTGCATCTTCAGCTTAATAACCGGCTCGATCTCGTCACCAATCATCCGTGCCATCAAGACTGGGCCACGAAGTGAGATTTCCTTGGCTCCATATGTTGCCGTGCTAACCAGCTCTTCTGACCTATTTCTCTTCACAGAAAGGTCGTGTATAGCTATGGCAACAAGTGAAGGGACTGTGATATGGCCTACGTGAAGATCTTTGATGTCCGCACCGAGGTGGCCAAGCTTGCCGCCAAAGTCTAGACTCAACGCAACCTTTTGGATCTTTGCTAAGGTCAATAAGCCGGGTCGGTCATCTTCAGGCAAGTATTTTGCGACGGTAGAAAGCTTTGCAACTTCGTCACCAAGGTTCGGTAGAATTGAGAGCTGGGACATATTTTGAACGCGAACATTCACACCATCGACTGAGAGTCTCAGTACGGAGCCCTTCCTTCGCTGACGTAGCAAAGTATCAACCATGATCTCGTCGTTATCGCCATCGAATTGATGCTTTGAAGGGATGATTAGCTCTAGGAGTTTCTCGAGATCTGAATCGTTAGGGGTCGTCAAGAACTCGACTCGAACTGTGGTGATCTCGGTATTAATAGGAGGATCTGCTGTTGAGTTCTTCAAGTATGGCCCTGTTATTCGAACCATGCCGCACCCCAATCCTATGACCTCGTCACGGCTCACAGCCTTAATGGAACTAGTTTCAACCAGCATGCTGCAGTCTTTTCCGATGAGCTCCACATAAGAGCCTCCAATGCGCACGTTAATCTTATTTTGTGATGCCACGGATTTGTCATTCGGATCAACTGGAGTATCAAATCGAACCCCTCTAGGCTTTGGTGTAGGAGCAGCTGGTTTGGGTGTTGGTGCAGGACTCGAGGCTATCGAAGCACTCATATTAAGGAAGCTGCTAAGGCCACCGAACCAGCTGAAAGTCTCGTCAAGCCGTCGCAGATCAAGCTGGAAAACGAGCGGTAGAGTCTGGACATCTATTTTGGTTTTGCCGCCTGATTGAAGGATTTCAATTCCAATATCAGAACCCGCCGATAGAAATGTTTCCCTAACCGATGCACTCATGGGCTTGCCCTTGTCGAAGGATATGATGTCGCCATTTGCATACCCGAAGCGGAACTTCTGCAAGTCTATCTTGGTCAGGCTAGCTGGCTGTGTCGCCAATTTACCCTTAATGACTGGCGGTGTTGATATCTCAGTCTCGAAAATGGAAATAACCAAGTTTTGCAAGGTTGTGTTGAGCAGAACTTCCTGGTCGAAAAATGGCGATGGATCCAGATCCATATAACGCTCAGGTGTATCTGAGATCCCTCCCAAGCGATTAATAAAGTCGAGTTTGATCTCCTCCAATGTTATTTTGAGGTTGGGCATCTTCTTTGAACTAGTCTCCTGCTTTGTGCTCTCAACTGGGGGCGCTTTCTTGTATTTCACAGCGTCCAGCAGCTTCCCAACAACCATCGCTAGTAAGAAGCCCAATGAGGCGTCGAATTTAAGATTTATGGGTGACAGGTTCACCTCTAGTGTTTCGTCAATTTTCGAAGCCCCTGATGCTGCCTTGTTCTGTTGCATGGAAGGCCCGCCATGCATTGAAAAGGCACCTGGAGCTTGAGGGTATGTAGACCGTCCCATTGACTGCGAAAGCTGGGCTACAGATTCTGGCGATGCAGGTTGAACATGCAGATGCTGGTGCTGTGATGGGATATATATCGAGATGGTTTTCAAATTTAGAATCTCCTTGACTAGACGCGTTGGTCCTTTGGGAGTAGCAGCACCTTCCTGTTGTCTGGTAGGCGTACGGGGATTCTCTGGGTCAGCATCAGTAAGACATGCCCTTGAAAACGCAGGCTCTGAAGATTCGCTATCTGAGGCATCCAGTGATATTGAGGGATCATCTTTCCGATACATCGAGTGTCTCAAGGTAGTGGATGGTGCTATGGCATTCCCTGAAGGATCATCATCGTCGTCGTCATCTTCCCAAGCGCCGGGAATGAAAGGCTTCGACTCTTGTTCCAATGGTACAGTGGCTGGAGCCTCTTGTAACTCTGGGCTCGGAGGCTTGACATCTGATATCTGAGGAGGAATCGCTTCTGGCATGTCGGGCTTTGCGTCTATGGTGTCTGGCTCAGTTTCTTCGTTTGCCACATGTGTATGCGCCGTCGTAGGTGGAGTTACTGCCGCCTCGACTGGCTCAACAGGTTTAGCTGGCTCAGAAAGTTGTTCCGCCTCTTCGATCAAGTCATCTTGGGGTTTCGGCGAAGGTGCATTGCCATGAGAAGGAACTGCTGGCAGAAAGGCCGCTGATTGAGCGTTAGTCTGTGAGAAAGCGCTCATGTACATGCTCTCTGCTTCTTCGTGTGTGTACATATGAGACTGTGCCAGGTCTTCAGCCGATCTCGCACCAAAGCTCTCACTTGAAGAAGTCCGACTGAGGTGCTCGTTTGAAACGCCCCTCCTAGAAGCTTCCAAATTAACTTGTGTCGCTGGCGTCTCGAGTGTAGGTGCAGATCTGGCTTCCCGTTCTGCGATCGTCCACTGAGGTCTCTCGTTCTCCAGCGCAGTTGAATGAGAGCCGTGTTCTCCGGGAAGAAAGGTTGAGTGAAATACAGGTTCGTCATTGGGACTGTTACTGAAATCGTGATACATCGATGCCCGGGGGGTCACGGGGCTATCTTCTGCATCATCATCCTGAGGGCTTGAGAATTCGTATGGGATTCCAAGTGCGTCCTCACTGTCGCCGAGAGGATATTCGTGCTCTGGAGACTCGTGATCGACGGAGTATTCGTCTCTGAGGCTCTGCTGTGAGCCAGCCAAAGAATTATCGGACTGAAGACTCTGGTGTGAACCCGCGAGTCGTTGATTGATGCTGTGTTGTGAAAGAACTAAGGGTTCTACTTGCGGAAAACCTGGCCGTGGTGAAGATTCTTGCTCTTCTGATCGTATGCTTGCCTGCGATGCTGTCACGGATTCCTCGTGAAGGCTGCTCAATGAAAGTGTAGTAGTCTGGCGTGACGGTGGATTCCTGGTCATAGCTGGAGAAGAAGCAAGCGATGGCGAAGTGACGGAAGGCGATCGCGCCAAAGCAGAAAAAACATTTGCTTCTGAAATGAGGTACGCCCGTACGTTTGACAATGAAACATGACGCTTGCCCTCCTTTGGTACGATGGTGGGAGATCCTTCAGCGTTATCAGAGGAAGTGGTAACACCCTCGACATCGATGCCATCAAGTGCAACTTGAAATGACACCAACTCAGTCGTAGTGGTGTTTGGTTCAACAGGCACTTCAACGTCCAGCTGAAAATTAACACCTTTTATCCTTACCTGCGTTCGGTCGACGATGCCCTGCAAAAAGTCGGCCAAAAACGCTGGGAGAGAAAGGGCTTGGCCTGTTCCGTATGCCAAATCGTCTTCACTGCCATCATCGCTCATAGCGATGGAAGCGCCAAGATCCTGGGTTTCGGCGGCCAAAGCGTCCTCGAGTTTCCTTCGCTCTGATCGTGGCTGCGTTTCAAGGAATGATTGCGCAAGGTCGACGGTGTTCGGTACAGCGGTGGTCTCTTCGGGTGTTCTTGTGCCTGATGAACGAGCCGGTTTGGATTCCGCTCCTATGACTTGCAGCGCAATATCAACACCGTCGACCTCGACTATTATAGGGCTTGTGTAAAAGTCCATCGGGATGGTGACTCGCAGAAGCAAAACCTTGGCTTTTTGCAATCTGAATGTGTCAGGAAGCTGCAACAGCTTGTTGAGTTTCTATGGCGGAGCATCAGTGACCATGATCTTCTAAGCCGTTGATGGATGCACAGTCATTAAACCTACCTTTAGCTTGATCCCAACATCGCGAAATTCGAGGACTGTATTCCTCCCTATCGCCAAATCTAAATTATCAATATCGAGAGCCTCGGCATCGAGAAGTTCCAGTCGAGAAAGGGCATATCGTAGCAACCTCTTTGGCATAGAGGAGCTCCGGAAAGACTGGAAGAGGGTCGCCATGATGCCGTCGTTCGTGGGATGCGATCGAGTCGATGGACGGAGTGGCGATGACTGCCCACGCAGCCCAAGAGGGAGGGATGATAGAAGACGAAGGATGAATATCGACTATCGGAATGGTGTAAGTTATTGACAGAGTATCGCTGCTGTCTAGGCAGAGGCCTACGTCGGCGTCTATCAGTCGGAAGCTTGAGGACCCCGGCCAGATGCGGGGCCGTAGAACATGTTTAGAGGAAATGGGAGAAGGCCATGAGAAGAAGCTGTAAGAGGAGAAGAACTTCGCTGCGAGATCGGATAAACTAATTAAGTTTGGGGATGTGAATCGTGGCAGTAAGGGTAAGGCACCAACGAGGCTGAAAAGGTTTGGTTGATACAAACCTGAGTTAAAGAAAAGAACAGTAACAAAGTAAGGTTGGCAAAAGGTGTCGAGGCACACTTCCCAAAGAGTCGGGTCACCGTCACAGACAGCGTCACACAGTCACGACCTGCATGGGCATGGACCATGGCTGAGACGGCAACGCGCGGGGGGGGGGATAGACCTCCAGTGGACCCTCTACTGCCAAATCCATACGAGCTACAGGCGGTAGAAGGCCTGGAAAAGACCCAGTATATCGCCCCTCGAGGCGCTAAAACACTAACACATGAGGCTCGTGACTCGATTTCAAGGATCGTTTCGAGCGGCGCACCAAAGCAGCTGGTCCATGATGTATCTCCCGAGGGCATCTCTGGGGGCGTCATTTGACCTATGAATTGCGCTTTTAGTGGGTGATACGACTCGCGCAACCTCTATTGTAACTTGGGGAACTCAATCGATAAGGTCGGCTCACCGCGCAACACCATCACATTGTGCTGCCCACGTCATGGATACTACAATGCCTTGATCAACTGTGACGTGGTTTGCTCTGACACGATTTGTTGCGAAAGATTGCCTTTGCTGTTTTGGGTAAATCGGGTGAGTCAAGGCAGCTGCAACTTCACCTCAAACAAATGCATCATCGATCTCTTTGCAGTCCCTTTGATAGCCTGAGACAACGACATATTCACTGCTTATCACGCGCATACCCTTGCCAAGATTTCTTTAACGGCCGTTTTATGCATGTTGTCTATTGTTACCCTAACCACAAACGATTGACGGTGTCTCTTCTCGCCGAAGAAACCGTCAAATATTCAAAGGCCCCTTACTTGGATCGTCCGTAATAAGCCTCCGCTATTCTCTTACCAACAGCCTCACCGCTCCAGTAGGCTCCAGTCGCTGTGCCTAGACCAACAAACGGCGCAGTGTGCTCGCCTGCCAGCCACAATCCATGATCCGGCAAACCCTCTCGCATTGTCCGGATATCAGCATCACCCTCTTCCAAACCAACCTGGAAATTACTATAGCTTCCGAATCCTGAAAGCTCATCGTGAAGCCAATCTGTAGCCATAAAGCCAGACGGCTTGCAGTCAGGGTTACTCTCCGAGTAATGCGGAAGTCGTGAGTAATATGGCTTGAAGAAGTTGAGGAGGAACTCATCCTTCTTCTGGGGATCCGATATCTTCAATAGCTCGCTGGTAATATACTGCGACTGCTCGCCGTATGTGTAGAAGAGAAGGGTTGGATGTGAAACTTCTGGGTCCAGGCTGGCAAGTTCCACGACCTCTTGATTCCATCGTCTTGGGTTCAGATCAGGAACGTAATTTGGTGAGAGCCATTGCACAAAACCCTCTGCTTTTCGGTCGTCACCTTCTTTACCAAGCCAGTAAGGTTTGGGAAAGTTGATGTAGACCTTCTCAAGGCATCCGTAACCGATGGCATCGATTGCCTTGGCGATTCGAGCAGGTAGCGCAGGCTCAAAAGCGTCGAGGTTTCGTTTTAGCCAGCCAAGGGGTGCAGTGACAACAACTTCGTCAAACTGGAGTGTCTGGCCGCTCTCTGTTGTGACCTTTGCCTTTTCCTCAGAATTTGATCGATATGATATCCTGTCTACCTTGGTCTGGAACTTGATCTCGGCTCCCTCAAGAGCAGGTTTCGCAACTTCATCAAGAACCTTCTTGTATGTGCCGGCACAAAACAGATTCTCTGGTTCGAGTTAGCTGATTGTTTTCAAGAAGTTTCGGACTCCACATACCTCCTTCTATACACTCTTCCAACCAAAAGAACTTCAGGCTTTGTCTATAGACAGGACTGCCGATAAAAGCACCCCACATCTCAGATATTTGCATGACAATGCTTCGTATCCTTTCGTGGTCGGCTTCAGTATCAGGAACCCTCTCCGTCACCTTCTGGGCAAAGAAGTCGTGAAGACTTTCTTTCGAATCGATGTCTGATGAGTTGCTATTGGAGTGCTTGAACGCATCCTGAATGATATCCCACACGATAGTGGAGTACTTTTCACCATCCTTGAGGGACAAGAGCTCGCCAGACTCATTAAAGACACAAGACGTTGACTCCCAGTCACTGATGGCAGTATTCGTTTGCTTGGCGAGATCTAGCATTGGGTTATCGTTGGTTCCATGAATCCAATTTGGACCAACATCAGCCAAGTGACCATTTGGAAGGACCTCTTGATGCAAGCGGCCACCAACTCGATTCCTGGCCTCAATGATAGTGACTTTGAAGCCATTCTGAATAAGAATATCTGCACATCGAAGACCAGCGAGACCAGCACCAACTACACCAATATGTGGTTTTGAGGTCAGATCACCCCTCCAACGCTGTAAGCTTGTTAATCAGCATTGTCTTTAAAGTGTGTAAGAGGCTGAGAATGAAACTGCCACCGTTGCCCAGTCCATAAGTGGCGTCCAATATGAGACATTTAACAACGGCAAGTTTGGTGCAAAATTTGTACATACCTGTTTCAAACTATCCATAGTGACGAATTTCCTCAAGATCTTATCTTGATCATACCCAACCCGAGTATGTGGACGGGTAGACCAGAGATCCTGGTAGATCTTGGATGTATGCCTAGCGGCAGGACTAGTGCAACATATCGAGTAAGCATCCATGCTGAGATATTCAAGATGTATGGTCGAAAGATATGCGTTGAGGAATGGGTATAAAGCAATGGTAAAAGAAGGATAACTGGACTTCCAGTAGGGAAAGAGGATCGAGATAGAGAGATATAACAAGGCATGATAGGGTGAGGGATACAGGTGTAGCCCAGAACGGAGGGATATAAGCCTCAACGGTTGACAAGGAGGTCACCAGGTGTCAAAGTCATGTCAGGCAAGAATGGTTTTTGGCCACCAAAGTTTCCTGAGAATGGATGACAACTAGTAAGGGGCTAGATACCGTGACAATGACGATCACGAGGGAAATATATCCACCGCATAATGGAGGGAGGGAAATGGCCGTGTGGTGTCTCGGGTGTGTTAGCTCCTACGATGCTTAGATCAAGGCAATTTCTAGCCAATGACCCATTTGGAGATAGTTGCGGCAACCTGAGCGGTTTGCAAACTACAGATAACGAAGAAGAGCCAATCGCGAAACATCAATAAGAACAAAACCCCCGGGTGCCAAATGGCAAAACCGTTTAGAAAGCGGGCGCAGGGACAGGCGCTGCCATGCGCGCCTCGGTGCTTTAGTATGAGCTTTAAACTCGACTTAAAAACATCGCCATTGGAGCAACCTCTTTGATAAGGAGGCTCGGCAGTATGTAAAAGGCCAAAATGAGGCGGACAGGGACATGGCTGTCACGGATGCAGGTCCGGGGTTCGAAAAAGAGTAATAAACTGAGAATGAAGATACACAAAGAAAAGCCCGCAAATAACCAAGCCAATGGCGGCTCTGAACTGCTGCTCATGGGAACACGTTGACAAGACAAGGCCCGCCGTTTGATATAGAACCAAGATGCCCCTCAAAAGGCCTGTGCAGATCCAGATTCAAATCGTGGATCCTCCCGTTTGCCAAGCCGTACCAGGTCTGAGAAACGGAGGTTGGAAAACGGTTCAGAGGTTTCGAGTCGAGCGCAAGCAGGGCCATGTAAGAGCGAGGCAAAGTGATAAGAGAACGAAGACTGGCTGATACGTACTTTAGTAAGAATCGAGGGTGCAAGTGAGATAGATCAGGATGAAAGAGAGAATATCGCATTGCTCTTCAAAGAGCTTATGAAACATAAAATGAATCAGTTCAGGCTCAAAGGGAAAGATTCTGAGGCAATCCTCAAGTTTTATCTTTATCGGCTTCTAGCGGCGTGGGGCCATGACTAACGCGATTCGCCGCACAAGTAAAGAAACTTGATTGCCTGCTTCGTATTTTGGCGTCTGTCTCTGAAGCGTTGACACTGTCGCAAGATAGATGCATTCTAGAGAGTGAGCCCTCCACGGATTTACCAACGAACCCACGAGACTGTCAAGCCACCATGTCCAAATACCCAGAGCCCCTGGTACAGGTTGAGCTAAGCGGTACAGAGCTTACGATAGAGAGACAGGAATACACAGAATATTGTCCTTGATGATAATCTAGGTTGCTTGAGTGATGAGAGCGAGCGAGAAGATGCTATAGCGACAACCAGGTTTCGAAGGGTGTAGGTGGGTAGCTTGTAATGAGCAAACTCAACACATCAGACAGAGCGTAAGTAACGGTGCAGTTTTTGGAAGGATTGTCAACGTGTTGTTCTCAATGTCACTCAAGTGAGTAGCAGCGCAAGTACTATTAGAAGCTTATCAATGAGTGAGTCTTGGGGCGTCGCTCTATACTAGATGCTGAATGTCGTCGTCCTCGATAGCCATCCTTTACTGCAACTTCAGTCCCCTCAAGTGCTTTACCTGCGTTGCCTTATAGCCAATCAGGAATGAAATCAGATGAGCGGAACATGTATGGTCTTTTCATGATTTCTTGCAGGGGATTGCCTTGGGATCAAGCAGATCCTAACGAATGTTAGTGAACGACAGTTCCTAAGTTTTGTGTAATGAAGCTCAAGGCCCATAACATCAGGCCATTTGAGAGAAGGACGATGATGGGCTTTTAACAAGCCGCGGATAGAGACCTCGCTTAATGAGTTATCGAGCTTTATTACCGAGGAAAGACTCAACTCTAGCGACCCTCTATCCATGTCTCACTTTTTTTTGGTCAAGATTCAGGTCATTCCATCATGTGCAAATGCGTCGGCCCCGCCCCCACAAAATGGAAGTGATGCCGCTGAAGCCAATGGGAGGCTTTGTATTTCATCACAGCAGGCCCACTTAGTCGGTGCCGAGGTTCAAGGTCATTCATCGTCTGGGGTAATGTGTGTCTGGGGGCTTGAGAACAGCTAAAGCAAGCCAAATTCCATTCATTCAACTCTGTTTCTCACTTGTTCTTCTATACTCTTGTGATACCTCGTTTCGCTGTAATATCCCAAATCACAACCATGAGCTCTCCTACAGATACGTTCTCCCGCGAGGAGGTCCGCTCCCATACAACCGACGAGTCCCTCTGGTGCATCATCGATAGCACAGTCTACGATCTCACAGACTTTGTCGACGCTCATCCTGGTGGTGAGACTGTCCTAAAACAAGTCGCCGGTCAAGATGCCACGACCGCCTTCTACAATCTCCACCGACATGAAGTTCTCACAAAGTACAAGGACCTCGCCGTTGGCACCATCGAGGGCGAGAAGCCTCAAGTTATTACCCCACAGCCTGGTGACCTCAGCAAGGTCCCCTACGCCGAGCCTCTATGGCTTGCAGAGCCCTTCCGTTCGCCCTACTACAAGGACAGCCACAGGCGATTGCAGCGCAAGCTCCGAGAATTCGTCGATAGTGAGCTTTACGCGGAGGCGCAAGAGTGCGAGGCGACTGGACGATACATTAGCCAGAAGATGATTGATCGCATGAGCGAGCTGGGCATCTTACACATGCGTATTGGGCCTGGAAAGCATCTCCACGGTGTTGATCTCATGGGAGGCGCCGTCAAGGGTGAGGAGTTCGACTACTTCCATGACTTGATCGTGGCACAGGAGCTTGCGCGAGCTATGGCTCGAGGTTTCGCTGATGGAAACATGGCGGGTATGACTATTGGATTGACAGCGGTTCTCAACTTCGCCCGCGACGAAGCATGGAAGAACAAGATTGCCAACGAGGTCTTCAGCGGCAAGAAGAAGATCTGTCTCGCCATCACCGAGGCCTTCGCTGGTTCAGATGTCGCTGGATTGCGCACAACTGCTGAGAAGACACCCGATGGCAAGCACTATGTAAGTCAATTGCTACTTGAAGATCGAAGATAAAGCGCTCACACAAACTAGATCATCAACGGTACCAAGAAGTGGATCACCAACGGTGTATGGTGCGATTACTTCGTTACAGGTGCCCGAACCGACAAGGGCTTGAGTGTCTTCCTTATCGAGCGTGGCGAGGGTGTTGAGACTAAGCAGATCAAGACCTCTTACTCTACAACAGCTGGTACAGCTTTCGTGACATTCGATAACGTCAAGGTCCCCGCCGAGAACATGTTGGGCAAGGAGAACAAGGGTATCCAGGTCATTCTGAGCAACTTCAACCACGAGCGATGGTACATGGTTTGTAAGTGTTACCACCTCCCAACCGCGGCATAACCATTCAGATTAAATCTAACCTCTATTCAATAGGCGGAAGTCTCCGTTTGTCGCGATCCATCATTGAGGAGTGCCTCAAGTGGAGTAACCAACGCCAGGTGTTCGGCAAGTCACTCATTGACCAACCCGTCATCCGCCAGAAGTAAGTTCTTCTAAACCCAGCATATTTCTTCAATTGCTAACGCTGTCCAGGCTCGCAAAGATGATCGCGCTCATCGAAGCCAACCAGTCATGGCTCGAAACCGTCACCTACCAAATGTGCCACATGCCCTACTCACAGCAAGCACAGCACCTTGCCGGCCCCATTGGTCTGCTCAAGATGAGCGCCACTCGTGCTGCCCACGAAGTTGCCGACGAGTCCGTGCAGATCTGGGGTGGCCGTGGTATTACCCAGACTGGTATGGGCAAGTTTATCGAGATGTTCCACCGAACATACAAGTTCGATGCCATTCTTGGTGGTGCCGAGGAAGTGTTGGCAGATCTCGGTGTGAGACAGGCCATGAGGAACTTCCCCAAGGCGATGTTGTAAGACTACGGTGCAGTGTTTCAAGGTGGCTATAGTTTAAACCATGTATTATTGGAAAATATCCAGCAATTTATTTCTTCTTGTTAAGCCGAAGGACATGTGATAATTAATTAATTACTTTCTAGGCTGCGTTAACGCAACCTTTTAGGTAGATCCCGAGCAAACTTAGTAGACACTTTGCATTGGGTGCTTGCAATGTTGTATTAATACTCCTAGAGTCGAAGCACTTGGTTTTCTGCTATGTGTTTCAGTATTCGTCGTCGTCGCCTGTCAACCTAAAATCGACAAATAAGTTGGCGTACTGACTTCAGAAAGTTTGCTCGTTAGGGTACCAGCTGTCCAGCTCTTTGAAGCCAATGTCCTTGTATCGTGGCTGAACATGATCTTCTTGATCAGTTGAACTACTGTTGAGTCTATTGCATCTGCTGCAAGTCGGCGTTCTCTCTACGACGTTATTTTCAAACTTGCCAGATGGGTAGATGCACCCCATCTCAAAGCTAGTTGAGCCTTGAAACAGGCTCTCGTGTTTCGATCACCGTCAATTAAAGAGTGGCCAGGGTGTGTAATAACATTATTAAATGGATATCTATCAAATATAAAACAGAGTTCACCTACAGGTGCCGCTCGTGGCAGACGATCGTTGCCCAGGGGAAGGACGCGAAGGCCAAAGTAGAAATATAACCAAGCATTGGTAACAACGTACGACTACACAAGCGTTGTCAACAAGTTGATCGGAAATTGTAAAAACATCATGAAGGTATCTTTTTAACATGAAGGGCTTAGCCATGTAGTCCTCGCAAAACAACCAAAACTTCGATCTCAATCCAGCGATCCGAGTCCCTGAATATTCCTCTTCGCTCTTTGAAAAGCCTGAAATTGGTATTATCCAGCCAAAGATATCGGTGAGTGATCTTGTATGCATCACTCATTCAAAAGAGTTGATTGAAGGAAACTGACGTGCGGAATGACGGTTAGTTTTCCATTAACAATGAAAAATCATGAAGAGAGGCGGTTGAGGTGTTGTTAGAGATTAAAGGCCAAGTACTAGAATATCCAGCGGCTTATCAAGGGCACCAAAAAAGATCAAACTTGGATCCAAATTGCATTTATGTATTGGCAGTCTGGAATCATCTATGCCAAGACAAGTGTGATGAATCTAGATAGGATTCCAGCCACGGTGTAAATGTTAAGTAGACAACTCAACTCAGCACAGATCGATGGAGAAGTCTACACAATGGCATGCTTGTGATACCAATTCAAACAATACTTCCAATGGCGCACTTGATTAGTTTCAGTTGGAAATGAAGAGCCTTTTCAGAGGCTCTATAGATAGTGTCCATCTTCTAGATAATAGTAGGTATATTACGCAGCAAAGCCTGAGTAGTTTTCTTGCTATCATGATGCTACCCATATAAGCAGCCTGATATAGAATCCAGAGCCAGGCTGTTAACGCTTCCGATCTTTTTACCTTCATTTAAACGACATGGCAGTCAGCTTGATTCTATGCATTCTCCCTGTCTGCAGTCGACCTTAATTATCAGAGTCCCGGATTTTGAAATTATTGAGTCATGCCGACAGCCTAGTTCATTGAATGTCTGTGTTTAGGCCGCTAAAGTTCTTGCTGAGTTTCACCTGTATCAGCTCCTTATTCAAAAACTCAGCCGAGATTGTTGTAAAAGGTCTTTCGTGCCGGATCCGTATCTTCCCGTAGGCTTAATATGAGCCGCAACGAGCCACGCCAGGAACTCTTGTGCACTCCGAGTCTTGAACCGTTCTAGATCTGAACCTTAGCCACACAGTTACCCCTGAAGGGTTCCTGTCTGCGTGACCAGCAACTCGCTCGCCATTTCGTCATACCAAGCTGACTGAACATGCTATTGTCCGAATAGCATGCTACTAATCGGAGACTATCTTAATAGCAACAGGCCGATTGTGCTGGTGCGTCCAAGAGGAACAGCCACCCTTTGAGCCTTGTTCACCTTCATTCTACACACCCGCTTCTGCTAGAAACGCAAAGCATAGGTCGGCAATATCGAAACACACAGTCACACCAGGTTAGAGTTTCCACAACGTCGGGATCAACGCATTTCATCTCGACTTGACTACCAAAGGAGCACACCCAGCTCTTCTCAGCTTGGGTTCTCCACTTGCAGCGAGTAAGCAGAGCACCAGAGGTGTTGTGAAACATTGCATGCAAGACACCAGATATTTTCAGTTTGATCTCGTCACCCCCACCCGTCACCATCCGTCTGTCTCAAAGTCGAGTCGATTTCATGGTCGTAGTCGTTCGTTCGTTGTGTGACGAAATCCAATGCCGATATGTTCCAATCAAAGCTGGTCGCCGCCAGCCACTCGTCGAGAATCGCGCACGGTTTGTTTTGTGAGCCTCCATTCTGCCGTGATGATCATAAGAAGTCGTGCGAGGAAGTTGAACTTTTGTCAAAATGCCGTAAAAGAACTAGGAAATAAATCGTCCGTGGGTATCAACGAGTCTCCACGTCCACCTCGCCTCAGTCGCGATGCTGAGTCACGAGCCACCATTTTAGTTGCTGGGGCACTGAGACTGGACGTGTCCAGGCTGCTGGCACTTGTAGCAGATCTTCTCACCACCAGCGGACTCCTTGGGGCAGTCGCGGGAGTAGTGGCCAGACTCGCCACAGTTGTAGCACTTCATGCCGTTGACACACTCGCCTGTGATTTGGTTAGCCAAGATCAAATGTTCCCGGATAAAAGTGCAACTTACGAGACATATGGCCGTAGCCACCGCAAGAGTAGCAGGTCTTGCCAGCGCCACCACCGAAGCCACCACCATAGTTGTTACCGTAGGAGGACTTGGAGCAGTTGCGGGCAATGTGGCCAATCTCACCACACTGAAACGTTGTTAGCCGCAGCCGTAGTCTGAAGGACAAATAAACTCGCCTTGTAGCACTCGGTAGCCTGGCCGCTGCCGCCGCTCATGGGGCAGTCACGGGAGATGTGGCCGGGCTGGCCGCACTTGTAGCAGGACTTGTTATCCTTCATGGGCTCGGTGCAGTCACGGCCTGTGATGAATTAGCGACAGTCAAACAAGAGAGGTGAGAGACATACTCATGTGGCCCTCGCCTGAGAGCAAAAAATGTTAGTCGACAAAACTACAGTATTGAAAAAGAGCCAGCAGGTCTTACCACCGCAGTTGTAGCTAAATCTCAATTAGCAAAGAAAAACTAAAAACTTTGAGAGAATACTCACCACTTAGCAGGACCCTTGGTAGGGCAGTCACGGGCCTAGAGAGAACAGTGAGTGGGTTGACAGAGACGCAGACGTCGAAATGCGTATCATACCTGGTGGCCAGTAGAACCGCCTAGAAATCATGTTAGTGCTTGTTCGAGTGTAGAAGTAAAAGTATGTGGAAACGAGACGTCGCAACCGAGGCTTAATGAGATTCAAAAGCCACTGCCAAGCCGGGTCTGCGGTGAGTGTATGGCACGCGACCAGCCGTGCATAAACACGTCAAGGGCAAGCCACAGCATCAGCGCACTATTTTGGGTCGCCTTTGGAACCAAAGCAAGCGCAGAAGCTTGCATTGGTCTGAAAACAGGTCTTGGTGCGGAACATGCTGATGAAGGAGTCTGAATGAGATAGATCAGACTTACAAGAGTAGCAAGCGCCACGGGGCTGCTGCTGTTGTTGCTGCTGGAAAGAATCCATTTTGAGAAATTGAGTGGTTGTGTGAAAGGGTTTCTGAATTCTCAAAGTCAGTCCAAGAAGTGAGGCACAGATATGAAAGTGTGTTAAGGTAAAAGTTAGAGTGGTCACCCGCCTCCGAGATCCGATAGAGGCAAGGGATTGGCGAGGGGTTGATGTGTAGTGACGGAGTTGCTAGAAGTAAGAAGAGGGGGAACTGGAGGAAATTGAAAGGTTTTCTTTGCAGATGAGAAAACACAGACTCTTTGAACCAAAATGGCTGAGAGGCGTGAGAAAGTCATGAGGGCGATTCAGAGACTCTTGAACTTCGCAATTGGAGCTGTAATCGCATTAAAATAGTGATTGACTGCCGACAATGACATCCAACGGCTCGTCCCAATGGCTTGTCATGAGAGTGGACAGTGAGTTTTAAGCCCACTCACAACGTTCTCAGAGCTGAAAGTGGTAGGCGGGGGCGGGGTGCAGAGATTTCCCAGGTAATTTTGCTCCAGGATTTTTTTCCTGGCGAGCGCTGGGAGATGATGATGCGAAAGAACGGCAGTGAAGTGGGAGTTGTTGGTAAAGAGGCTGCGTGTTGAATTCTGATAATGTAAAGTCATAAACTTACCGAAAAGTTTGATTTGCTTATGTTCGCAAGAGGAGGGGATCAAACGAGAATTTGAGGAAAGTTTGTGGTGATGTGTGAAAGAGAGAACCAAGGCCGAGTTCCAGAGTTGAGGGGAGTTTTCACGCGCTTTGACGGGTTGAGTAAGTGCGGGTCGAATCTGCATACTGCCCGCCTGCCCTGCCGTCTACCTTACCTTAGTCTAAAGTCCCTGGCCCAGTGCGTTTCTTAATCCACAGTGGAGGCCTGACTTCTCGCTTCAGGGCTCAAATCGTTGGCCCTTCCGCTGCAAGTCGTCCCTTGCAGCGAGAACATCCACTGGACTAGCATCGTGGATTTGGATCTAGCCGGGGCACTGTGCAATCACCCGATCACATTTTACTACAGATATTCGTATCCTGACGCCCATTGATCTGTAACTACCCGAGAAATTGATTTAGATAAATTAGTCTGTTATTGTGTTCAGCAGGCATTGGCTCGCTTGTCATTGTTCTCGAAAACCTCGAGTCAAACGAGGATGTACAATGTCAGTCTGACAAGGCCTTTATCATGGATGGGTCGATGGCGTCTGAGTTGGCTGTTACACAACATTTAGAGCTGTTCTATTGGTACTTAAGCCCTATATGGCGACGTTGTACAAAGATGATGCAAGATGCCAAAGCCGGTCAAGATGCGACATTATGGCTATCATCACTTTGTATCACTCGACTTGTGCTTGTGAGGGCTGAGTGTGATAGGTCATAATCATCTATCAGAGCCGAGCCAAGCAGATAGGTACAGCAGCTGTGATCTTTTGAGGTACCAAGATATGTCAGATGAGATACTCTGAAACATTTTTTGATCGCAAATCTTCCCAGAAATCGCTCTTAACACACTTGCCAACATCGTCAAATGACCTTGCATCCGACGCTGTAACGTGATGAAATGCAGTTGCCCTAACCATGCACAATCAGGCGAGATCGCCAAAGACGCGACGCGACCGCACAGATGGGGCAGGGTGGAGGTTCTAGCTGTTTCAGGCATAGTCTGTGAAGCTATAATTTGAGATCCAGATCGACGCAACATAGCAAAACACCAGCCGACATCATGAGACGGCTTATCAACGGAGGCGTGAATGATGCCCTCAGCCTAATTCGAATACATGAGAGACAATACTTCTTCAAGAAACTGAAAACAGAGCCTTTTGTTCCAATAAACTCATTCTCCAATAGTCTTCACCCTTTCGCTGGCTAAGAGCCTCACTGGACGCTTACAATCAAGGTCAAGGATGTTGTCTCCCTCAACGAGACAACTCGGCTGCCTGACGTTCTCCAATTGGAACTTGTGTTCAGTCTCAACATGTACGTTGTACGCCGTTGTAATCGGAGAATTGTACGTACTTGGTAGCAGAGTGTGACACAAAGCTGCTGTGCACCCTCGAGTAGCCTCCTCGACAACGACGGAATTCTGTCCGTCTGAAGCACCGACTTGTTTCGATGATGAGATTGCTCTTTCATCCTCCCAACGAGACACAGAAGTTCTAATTTTCTATGAAAGGTTGGCCATCAGGATCTCTGGCAGCGAGATGAAATCAAACGACGTTGTAGACTGGACCTTGAAGTTTGAGAATATCGCCCAAGGGCTCGGAACTGCTTTTACACATGATAATATCCATTTAATAACTTGATTTGCTTATAACATACCTATTAGTTCCTGTTGTTGGTCCATTTATACACTCTGACAATGGGAGGAGGTCGGCCTCGCTGTCAGCATCAATTTCTTGTTGGAATTTCATTCCAGAGGAAATGGATGCTGGCTCCTTGAAAATACTTAAACAGAGTCTCAGCAGACCCGTACTGTATTACATTTGCTAAAGCCGATTTTGCCGAGCACCTGGTGACTGGGCTTGAGAGACGTAGCTACTAGTTTGAAGCCATCAATCATCTTGATGGGAATATACACCATTCTGCTGAGATCCAATCAGGCTAGAGCATAGTCAACCCATGAGATTGTAATACTTCAGTAAACTATTGTCATGTTTCAGGCCAGTCATCTTCATTGAATCCTATAAATGCTTATTGGCAATCCCAAAAATGGGAAGCAATTGGTGGAATCCTGTCGTTTTCGACTATTCGCCACAATGAATGCTTTCTGAAACTTTCTAGATTTCTAACACGCCCATAGTCCGCGAAAATTAAGTCTGAGGGCGTTCTTGAATGGACCAAACAAGGCCGAATATGAGACATAAGGTTGATAAGAGTTGGCGGTTAACACCAAAAACCTTCCCTTTACGTCTACATCTACAGGACGATATGAGATATCTAGAGACGCCCCAACCTTATGGAGAACTGACTTCAACAAACCCTCCCGTGAAAATAATGCGAGAATATCTTCCTCTGTTCCCTCTCATCTTTTCCCCTTATACTTATTACTTCAATCCGCACACTTTTATTCCCAGGAAAATTTCTAACAATCATCAGTCCGATAGTACCATAACAGTACTAATTCCTCCGTGCTGGTCTTCTCTCATACATTTCCGATTGATAGGGTGCCTCTTGGCAACCCTCCTGTTATTCCACGGTTCAGTGACAGCTACTGAACATCCCAACACGTCCCACTTTCGTCAGTCCCCTCCGCAGGTCGAATACTACCATGGTATCCCTCGTTATAAGCACTTCGCAAGACTCCAATACCTTTTAAAGAAGGGATACCGACCAATATCGCTAAGTTCTTATGGGCCTCCTCATGACGCCCTTTACCCTGCAATAGGCTTAATAGCTGGAGTAATCAGGTTTCTTATAATGTAGCTTCAATCAATGATGAAGTATGAAGGATATCTAGGGATAACATTCAAGAAAAAGTCTTTCAAACCGCCGATGCACTCAGCGGCTCCTTATTTACAAATGAGCAAATCGAAATTATCTGTCTTCAATTATTTGTACATGTAGTGTTATCTCGGTGGCTGGTGGATGTCCGCTCCTCATGAGCTGACATCCCATTCGCTCGTTAAAGCGGGAGATGCCTCACGCTATTTCGATCAACCTCAAATAACGTTAGTACAACGCCATTAAATAATCATTGATCGACGCCTGATATCTTTAAAATCTCACTGAGGGCGGTTTAATAATTGGCTTATCAAGAACCTCGCATCTCAGCCTTCCTGGCCTAATCATGACTAACGATAACCCATCACCAAGTTAAACTTTCGTCACGACCTTGATCAAACAGTGGGCCTTCTCCAGTTACGAGCTCAACCTTTCTCTGCTGAACCCTCCAAGCTTTCATCCTTCATTGTTTCTCGCTCTCTATCGGTCTCAGAATGTCTTTTTCCGCAGACGGCGATGGTCGTCTCGACCTCAAACGCCGCGTCCAAGACATGGACAATGATAACTGGAAAGAAGGCCATACACGAGTGGCAGGACAGAAGCACTTCAGGTCTACAGCCAACGTTCGAGTCGTGGAACGCCTCAAGCACATAACATGGGCATGGTTCACATTTGTCATGAGCACAGGCGGTATTGCGCTACTGCTACATTCAACACCACATCAGTTTCGAGGTCTGCAGGTTATCGGCAAGATCTACTTTATCCTTACGTTGGTCCTTTTTGTAACTATCGTATCCGGTCTTGTATTTCGCTTCATGAAGACGGCAAATGCGCTGAGGAATAGCTTAATGCATCCCACTGAGAGCCTTTTCTTCCCGTGCTCTCTACTCAGCGTCGCTACTATCATTGCGAATGCAACTGTATATGGAATTCCCGCTACTGGGCCGTGGCTAGCTACTGCGTTGCGAGTGTGTTTTTGGTTGTATGCTGGTCTTTCGATCTTATCAGCAATAGTCCAGTTCTACGTCCTATTTACCGGAGCTCATTTGCCTATTCATTCCATGACACCAGCATGGATTCTACCAGTATTCCCAGCAATGCTCACTGGGACTCTCGCTTCTGCCCTCATGTCCTCTCAGAGCCCGGAACATCGGATGTCAATGCTAGTAGCTGGTCTGACTTTCCAGGGTCTTGGGTGGACCGTATCTTTGTTTATGTATCCGTTGTATTTGGGCAGGTTGATGCAGGATGGTCTTCCAGCACCAGCAATGCGACCTGGCATGTTCATCGCTGTAGGCCCAGCAGGATACACAGCTGTGGCCATCATTGGTATGTCGAGATCACTTCCTGAAGGCTATGGCTACTTTGCGACATACCCAATGGCGAACGAAATCCTTCGAGTGCTGGCACTCTGGACTGGCGTATGGATCTGGTGTGTCGGCTTCTGGTTCCTTGGATTCAGCCTCTTCGCCGTCCTCACCTCTGCATTGAGATGGAAATTAAAGTTCAGCATGAGTTGGTGGGCTTTTGTCTTCCCGAATATTGGCTTCACACTAGCTACGGCGTACATTGGTGAGGAATTGCAGAGTGAAGGGATTAAGTGGGTGTCAAGTGCAATGACAATCTTGCTCGTGATCATGTGGTTCGTTGTTTTATATGGAATGATCTCGGCGGTGATTCGCAGGAAGCTTCTATGGCCTGGACGGGATGGCGATGAATCCTAATGAAGCTGCTTAATGATAGACTAGACAATTCGATAGTTGTAGATCCCAGGTCGATCCCCCATACTGAGAAATTCTTCGTCATCTGTAAGAGGCGCAAACTTACTAAAATCCCTATTCTCAGCCCAGGGCTCTATGGTCTCTCCAGTCATGCCAACTTGGCCAATTCGACGGAACTCTCCTTTCTCGATGCCTCTAACAAGAACCAATGCTTGGCCAACAGGGCTTCCATCACGATTAAAGCGGCAGTAGAAGACTGAAAGGTAAATATCGACAACCTCTTCAGCCAGCACAGTTGGGATAACATCATCAAGTAGAGCCCTGGTCACCGACAAATGTGCATATGCCCCCATGGTTGCCACAGTTGGACCCCCTGGTACCGTAACACGATTTTGGACAAATCGCAACTTCCCGCCTGGTACGAACTCTAAAGCCTGTTCTTCCGTGAGACGATTCGACAGATCGATCATGTTCATAGAAAGACAGGCCTTGATTAATGGCCCCTGAAGGACAATGTACCCGCCAGAAACAGACCCAAATTCCGACCCCATTGTCTCAACAGATGCCTCAATAACAGTGGCTGTACAGACCCAAGGCTGTTCCGTCTCTGATAATTTTATGTTTATCTCCTTGCTTCCGATCAGGAACTTCTTTTTCGTATCTGGTGCTGGCTCAACTGACGCCCAGGACCACGATGGGGCGCGGTAATTTTGTGGCGGTGAGACTTTTCTACCCTCACTTATAACGTCGGATACGGGGAAACCGGCCACCCCCAGAAACCGGCCACCCGCTTTTTGACCCAACCTCCCAATTAATGATATCTTAAAAAATTCACAACTCCACCAATTTTAATCGTATGAACTTGTAAAGTATACCAATCAATTCAGAATGACGAAATTCACTGAAGAAGATATGAGCGCTGCTCTTCAGATGGTTTCAGAAGGAGTTTCCATAAACAAAGCTGCAACGGCTTGTGGCATCAACCGTTCAACGCTCCAAGATAGAATTAAAGGTGCCACAACACCAAGACAAGCTCATGAACCTGAACAAAAGCTCTCAGCTATTCAGGAAAGAAGATTACGAGACTGGATTATGGTCCAAGCTGACCTAGGGTGCCCTGTTTCGCACCAACAGGTCCGACACTTTGCAAACCAGATCGCAATACGCAACGGCTTCCCAGAAGGCGTCGGAAAACGCTGGTTACAGTCTTTTATGGACAGGAACAAAGAAGTGAAGACTTTACCGGGCAAGAGTATGGATTCTGACCGTTATAACGGAGCTTCTACTGAACTTATCAAGGCCTTCTTCATGTTATTGTCGATGCCGGCAGTTCGAATAGTCAAGCAGAAGAACAGATACAACGTCGACGAAGTTGGAATGATGGAAGGGATAGGACTGAACGGTTTATTCCTTGGTTGCAAGGACAAGAAGTCAGTACTTATTCGTCAGCCTGGTTCAAGGTCTTGGATCACAATTCTCGAGTGTATCTCGGCAACGGGGAAAGTCCTGAGACCTTTGGTGATCTTCAAAGGGAAAACGGTCCAACAACAACATTTTCCTGAGAAATTGGACTTCCTGGAAGACTGGGAATTCACCTGCAGTGAGAAGGGCTGGACAAATAATCATATTGCGTTGATTTGGCTGAAAACGGTGTTTATTCCGTCGACAAAGCCCGAGAATCCAAAAGAACCGCGTCTTCTAATTCTCGACGGTCACGGAAGTCATATGACTGAAGACTTCTTGTTTGAGTGTTATAATAATAACATATTCGTGCTTTTCCTTCCAGCACATGCTTCTCATGTCCTACAGCCGCTGGATGTTGCAGTCTTTGGACCGTTGAAGAGGGCATATCGAAAATTCCTCTCAGATCTTGCTTCTGTCGCAGATTCCAGTCATATCGGCAAGATCACCTTCCTATACACTTACGACAAAGCTCGGAAAGAAGCTATCACGAAGTTGAACGCCCTAGCCGGCTGGAAAGCAACCGGACTGTGGCCAGTTAATCTGGCGAAGGTCCTGATAAACCCGATGGTCACTCAGCCTCCTAAGACACCAGCTCCCGTTGTTACAGCTATTTCCCCGGCCAAAGGAAAGAATTCCCGTCTTCTTATGACGCCCCGATCATCTGTACAGCTTCGTCGGGCCCTACAAGCTGTCCCGGGCGTTATCTCTGAAGACCCTGCTGTTAGGCTGCTTTTCCGTAAGATTGGCAGTCAATTAGACAGTCATAACTTTGAGATTGAACGCCAAAGAAGAGAAATCACGATAATGCAATTAGAAAAGGAGGAATATCTGCCGAAAAAGAGGAAGAAAGTCATATATAATGGAAATGCCGAGTTCGCAAAGGTTCCAGCAATTTTAAAAGCTCGTGAACAGATGCGAAAAGTATT